CCCCCCTCTCTAAAAATAAATAAATAAGATCTTTAAAACACACACACACACACACACACCACCCCTTCTGATAGGGTTTTCGTTGTGCGTACAGTAGGTGCTTCAATACACTGGTTGTACTGAATCAAACAGCAGCCTTGTTGCACAGCTCAGGGCCAAGCCATTATATTTAGTCAATAAGCCTGATGAGGGTCTGGCCCCCGTGGGTCGTTCGTTCCTTTATTCTTCAGCAGCTATTGCTCGGTGGCTAGCTGCTTCACACCGGACCTCAGGCAAGACACGGGGGGATGAAGAGGTTAATAAGAGGTGGGGCGTGTCCTGCTAGAATGTGGGTTCACTGGGGGAAGACAGGCTAAGCAGACAGCAATGGCACCTGACCCGGTCTGGGGCAAGGTCACTGCTGAGGAAGCAGCTGCTCCAGGCTGGGGCACACACAGTGCCCGCCTCTGCGCGGCTGCAGGCTGAGCACCGGCATTTCCCCGGGGCTGCTGGTCCCTGGTTGTCAGGCATCTGTGCTTGCACTGCCCTGTCTCACAGTGAGGAGCTTCCCACGGGCCCAGAGCAAGGCAGGTGCCCTTGTGTGCTGATGGTTAAGTGCGTGTGGGTCAAGAGTGCAGCACAGAGCTGGCCTGCCTGGTGTTCAAATCCCACCTCTTTCAGGAAGAAAGGGGGAGGGTTTACAGGAACAAGTATAAAGGACACATGTACAAAAACTAAGGGGGGGTGGAAACGAGAGGGAGGTGGGAAGCACTGGGGGGATGGGATGGGAGTAAAAGAAAATTGTACTTGAACAACAATTAAAATAAATATTTTTTTTAAAGCCCACCTCTGCCATTTTCTAAACCAGTAACCTTGGGCAAGTCACGTTCCTGACCCACAGTTCCTCCACGTGTAAACAGGGCCTAGTACTATCACGGAACTCACGAGTACAGGCTGTGCGGGAGGGCTCAGTGATGGAGAAGTGATGTAGGTGAAACGGGAGAGCCATGCCCGGAACAGTGAGTGATTAGAGCTACGATGTGGTTATAACCACTGCCACCATTGTGCCATCTGAAGAAACTGCAGTTTCGTGAAAGTAGCAGAGGGTGTCACCTCTTGATGGGAAGGGCAAAGGATCGCACCGGGATTTGTGGAAGACACAGAGCGGGGTCTGGAGGCCTGGACGGGGGCCCAGCGCAGTCCCTGGCTGGCTGAGCTTGCGGGAATTCCAGGCCCCGCGGAGCCCCAGGGCGCCCGGCTCCCCTGTGGACAGAGGGCTTGGAGGACATGTCCAGCAGCCTGTGAAGGCCTCCTGGTGTTTGAAATGCGCTGGGAAGATGGGGCAGGAAGTGGCCTGGTGAGGAGTGAGAGGCGAGGGACAGCACTGCAAGGAAAGTTTGGTTCCTCTGGGGACAGAAGGCGGCCACCGTCCTGGACCTGGTAAGGGGAAGGGAGGAGGAAGAGCCTGCTACCAACCCACAGGTCAGTCGTGGTTAGCAGAGGGGGCCACACTAAGGTCCTAGGTCGGGAGGGGCCTTGCCCCAGGTCACCCTGGAAGGTAGGGGCAGCAGCAACGCCCACCCTGCCACTCCCCGCCTCTGTTCCCTGTCTCCCTTCCCATGTTTAGTTACAGGTAAAGGCACAGTGGGCGACAGCCGCTGGCGAGGCCACATGGTAAGCATATGGTCTGATATTTTTCTCTGCCTCTTGTCTTTCCTGCGGCTGTCACCGCGAGTACAGCCTGTTCCCGCGGTGTCTGAGCGAGGTGTCTGGTTGTGGGCTCACTCGGCTGCCTGTGTCGGTGTGCTGTGCTGGCTGGTGGCCTCAAAGGGGCCTCAAAGGGGCAGTGCAATGATGGGCAGAGATGTCCGGGAGGGAAGAGCTGCTGGATAATACCAGCCCGAGGGTGGAGGGAGGACACTGCACCTCAGAGGCATTCACTCCTTCCTCCATTCATTCATTTAATTGACCCTCCCCGGGCCTGACCCCAGGAGACTCCAGGCAGTGGTGATGGGAAGAGCTGGGAGCTGGGTCTCAAGGACGTGGGGACAACTCGGCAGCTGCTTTCTGCCATCCAGGGGCACGTGACATTACTGAGGGCAAATATGATGCCAGGTAAGGAGGTGGCTGGTTACAAGATAAAGACAGCTGGTTAGAAAGTGGGAAAATAGTGGCAACAGCCACCATCCTGTCTAGGTGCTGGATCAGGAAACCTACCAAGCCCTAAAGTAACGCAAGGCTTCAGTGAATGGAGACATTCCTTCACCTCGTCCTTAAACTAAAAAGCTCGGGGTAAAGATGTCAGTTTGTCTTCAATTTGAATGCATTTCATGCAACACCAGAAGAAATTCTGATGGGATTTTGGTGGGGGTGGAGGGAGAGAAGATTTGACACAATCATTCTATAATTTGCCTGAAAGATTTCACAAGAATGGAAGTTGGCAAGACACTTTTTATAAAGCATAATGTCAGGAGCTTGTGTCGTCAGGCATTAAAATATATCCCCGAACTACAGTAGTCACACTATGTGACATTGTCTTGGGAAGATACAGGTAGATTCCTGAAGCAGAGGGGGTGTGGACGTAGATCCGCACAAGCTTCCAAGTTTCTTTCCTGATAAAAATGCGTCTCAAGTTAGAGAGAGGCAAGGCAGAGGTTTCCGACGATGCCGCGGCCTCAGACTTCACTGGGCATGCGCAGAGATGGGGACCCTCTTCTTCCCCCAAAACGTTCCGCGGGTGACTTTGCCTGGCAGGGATGGATAAAAAGTAATGAGTCTAGCCCCCGGCCATGTCCTCAGATTGTTCCTATCCACTGTCTTGTCTGGTCTTCAAGGAGGGAACCAAGGTCAACGTTTTAAAAAAATGTTCACTCTCTCCCCCTGAGAAAGTCATTCAAACCGATCATATTAGGAAAAAAAGGAGATAAAGGGACCTCCCCCGCCACGAGCCCACTACACACATCTATTTACTCTTTCCGAAACTGGGATCATGATGTATATGCAGCTTTGTAAGCTGCTGAGTTCCCTTCATATTGTATTGTAAGCGTTTCAATGTCCTTTGGAAGCACAGCGTCTGTGGCCATGTGCCATTCCTTAGAAGCAGCTGCCATGATTTATTTAGGTGTTCCCTCAAAGTTGATTATTTTCCAGACAGCTATTTTAATGTTTTTATAAATCACCTGCTGGCTTTTCAAACTCCTCTTTCTATTACTTTCTTGAGCTAGATTCCTACAAGTGTGGTTACCACCAGGTCAAGGGGGAGAACTGCCGATTGCCGTCCAGAAAGCAGGAAGCGGGAAGCCAGCATGAACATTATTTTTAGTGTTTTTTTATTTGCTAGGTTCATCGATGACAGGTGCCAGTGCTAAACATTATGTATTACCACCCTCACATCCTCTATGCGGGGACATTCATTGTATAGATGAAGAAACAGGCTCAGAGAGGACTCCCCCAGCGGGCCAGGGTCGCCTAGGCAGAAGGCAGTGGAGCCCCGATTCAAACCCAGACTTCGACGCTAGCACCCATCCGAGCTTGGACCTGGGTGGAAGCCTGGGCGATCTTGACTCGGCTCTCCTTTCCCTGCTCACTGCCTGTCTTGGTTCTCACCCGAATGAGTTTTGTAACTGGGGAGTAGGTGATGCTGTTGCATCCTTCCCTAGCGTTATCTGCCCTTCAGAGGTAAAAGCCCAACTCCTCAGGCCAACCTTCAAAGCCACCATTATCCAGGTTACCCTTTCACCTAAAGGCGTGACCTTCCCCTGACCCTGGATTGTCTGGCGCTCCGGCCACACTGAGCCACTTTCGCGCCTCTAAGTCCAGGCGGAGTTAGGCACCTGTGCTGCCTCCGCCCCTAACATCCCCCCACTCCGCGGGGTTGCAGTAGAGCGGGTCCTGATCCTTAGGGCAGCACCTGTCACATGACTGCAGATGGCTCGACTCAGGAATCTCGGCTGCCTGAACCCGCCTAGTCAGCCTCCGGGTCTGCGCGTCCCTAGCGCCACCGTGCGCCCCGCCCGCACACAGTCGGCGCTTAAGGTAAAGGGAGCGAATTGCCCAGAGCTGTTAACAGTTACAGAAGCCTTTGAGCAACAGCAGAGGGAACAGGGATTGCTATTGGGTAACCGTGGACTGTTTGTCTCAGTGACTCCGTGTAGGGACGGAGGAGAGGGGCGTCGGGATGCAGGGCAGAGTCATAATTAAACGGCTTTTCCAAGCAGGACCGGTTCAGAGTCCGGATGAATGTCGTTTTTTATCATTAAACTCAGGCTTCTTCACCCGCTGCTGAATCAAGGCGGCAACAAAACACTCTGACATGGACCTCCCCACTTTTTTCTGGGGCACATTCTTTTGCCAGGTTGTGCGGGTCGCCGTCTCGCCGGGTCTCGGTTCCCGAATGTCCAGCGGTCGACTGCACGCTCCCTCCCACCTCAGCCCCACGCGGGCCCTCCGTATCGCGGGACAGTGGTGGCCGCGGGGAGGTCGGTTGGGGACGGTCCTCCTCGAAGTCGCCTGCGATGTCCTTCCCAGACGACAGATCCCTCCGGGCGACAGACGAATCTTGAGCTCAAAGCCGCCCCTTTCTGATGCAGAGGGCCGGGGTCGGAGGGTCCACTCTGCCAAGGGCATCCTCGCAGCCCGGAGACGCGCCCGCAGGTGCCGCGGCACCAGGTGAGCGGGCGCCACCTCCGCAGCGTGACGTGCGTGCAGTGAAGGATCTCGCCGCGCGGTCTGCAGCACCGGAACCTCCGGTCCTCCAGAGGGCGCTGGCCAGCCCGGCCTGTAGACCGGCCTGCTGAGTGCACAGGCCCACGTAGAGCCTCGGAAGCTCTGGATCCCTGGAGCCCCGGAGCCCCGGAGCCCAGGCGCGAAGCCGGAGCACCCCCTCTCGCGCGCGGCCCGCTCGGTTCCTGGGGGCGACGCGACGGCGGAAGGTGTGTGGGAAGGAGGCTGTGCAGTTCCCGCGGCCGCAGCCACGCTGAGAGGCGAGGTGCGCGGGCCGAGGACGCCTGCGCGCACGGAAGGCTTAAGGGACGCTAGAATGGAGGCTGTGGGCTTCGCGGGCAGTGGGGTTACTGCAGGTGATGTGCAACACTGCTGTATCTGCCTAGGAAGGGTTAGCTGAATGGACGGGTGCGGTGGGGGCGGGGCCGAGCGGGGACCTACCTTCTACTTTGTTCATGGCGAGAGTGGAAGGCTGACGACTGGGGTGGAGGTACTGCTGTTATTGACACCAAATAGGCACAGGGGAGAGGGTGGGAGTATCAAAGGGGGCTGTGAGTGGGGAGGGCTGGAATTCGTGAGCGGTCGTGCAGAGAAAGGCTGCAGGGAGAGGTGTACTGGGGTCGGATGCTCCCCTTGGAAGGATGGAGCCCTGGGGGTTGGAAAGGCTGAGGGTGGGATTGGTTGGGTCAGCAGGATTTGGGGGGAATTGGTAGAGGGTGGTTGACCCCTCTTGCTGCTCTCAGATTTGGGAGCGTGATGATGGGGTGGGGAGGAAATGTGGCATGCTCTGGGTAGGATGGGGAGCGTAAAACTCAGCTAGCAGTATTTGAGGCCCCGGCGTTGGGGTGGGAAACCGAGGACTGGAGGCGAGTGGCAGGTCCCGGGGTGGGGAGCCCAGACTTACTCCCCTTCCTTCCCAGCCACCATGTTCAACCAGCTCCAGCAGCAGCAGCTCCAACAGCACCTGCAACAGCAGCAGCAGCTGCTGCAGCTCCAGCAGCTGCTCCAGCAGTCCCCACCGCAGGCCTCACTGCCTCTGGCCATCAGCAGGTGAGTTCCCTGCACCACATTCACAGGCCAGGTTGGCCGGTTCCAGCCCTGCCACTCAGGTCCATGCCCTGGAGGCCCCCTTCCCAGCCCTTACTCCCAGGTGCATGCCCCAAGGCAGGCAGTGAATGGAAGTGAGAGGTCTCAAGAAAGAGGGTGGTCTGACACTCCCAGTAACCCTCTGACAACTGCTCTCAACACACAGGGGGCTCCCCCAGCAGCAGCCACAGCAGCAGCTTCTGAATCTCCAGGGCACCAACTCAACCTCCCTCCTCAATGGCTGTGTGCTTCAGAGAGCTTTGCTTCTGCAGCAGTTGCAAGGTATGGCCACCAGTCCTTCTCATTCCGTCTTGGCGGCACCTTTCCAGCAGCTTTCTGGCACATTGAATCTCAGCAGATCCACACAGTAACCCTGAGAGGGAGCCACTGTCAGTGTCCTAATTTACGGAGGAGGACATTGAGGCTCCAGGAAGTGCAGTCCTTAAGTTGCTCAGTGGCCTGCAGGTCTATCTGAGCCCAGACTATCCCCTTGGCCACGGTGCTGGCTCAGAGCACAGCACTTGGCACACTTCAGTGCCATTCAGATTAGATGAGGCGCTAGATGGAAAGATCTGTTTTGACTATCCTCTTCCCTATCCCACTGGGCTGATGAGAAAGCAGAGGTCCAGAGAAGGAAAGTCATTTGCCCTGGGTCACACAGCACCAGCAGTATCTGAGCTAGACCAAAGCCTGGGCTTCCTGGCCCCCTGTATCTCTGAGGGGGTTAGGCCTGTGCCCTTGCCTCAGTTTCCTCATGTGGAGAGCAGTCTCTCAGCTCTTCCTTTCAAGATACCCCAGCCCCTGCGGGAGCAATCCAGGGGTCCAGGGTGCAGGGCCCAGGGCCAGCTCATATGCAGACCCAGCCCCTCCCACAGGGTAGGGGTGACTTGCTGGGCTGGGCACTGTGCTGAGGCCTTCACAAACCCAGGTCCTTGACTCTGCTGATAATCCTAAAGGGAAGGTACACTCACGATCCCATTTTACAGATGAAGAAACTGAGGCCCACAGAGGGGCCATATGCCCAAGGTCCCACAGCAAGTAGGTGTTGATTAGAGAGAGAGTCAGAGCCCAGATCTTACCACGGATGTGACAGTTGTCACCCTTCCGCCCTGCCAGGGCCGCATGGCCATGAATGGCCCTATGTGATTTTATTAACCACTGTCACCCCAATCAATTCAATAAAAATCAACAAGAATGAAAGAAATGGCAGAGAGATGGGCGGAGAGATAAAATCACACACAGGGACCCCCAGTCTATACATATGTATTCCCGCCCCCTTTTTTTTCCATTTTAAAAGTTACACTCTTCAAAGACAGGTGAACAGAATATTTTAGAAAGAGGATGAGAAAACCCAAAATAATCATATATAGATTCACTCACCTCCTGATGGAAAGACACACCTGCCCGGGCTTTGGTGTATTACGTCCCATTTTTTTCTGGCCACCAGCGCAGGGGTTTGTTTTTGATTGTGGTTCTTGATGTGAGTGAAAGGCTGTATCTTACTGCTTTTTCATTGAGTAGAAGGCATGACCATTTATTGTATAATTTGACAGTCTCCATAAGGATTATTCTTTAGCAGCTGTTTAATGTGCCGCTGGACAGAATGCGCCCTTGTTTACCTAAACCTTGTCGGTTTTGTTTTTTTTCTGTTTTAAATAACACTGGGGTGACTATCATGTTTGAGGTGATTGTCTTAGAATGAATTCCAGGAGTAGGATGGCTGGGTCAGAGGGTGGCTGTTTTGCGGCCCTTGGTAAGTATTGCCGAATTGCTTTCCCAAAGGACTGGACCAGTTTGCAATGTCACCAGCTACGTATGACAGTGCCGGTCTCACCATGCCCACAGCAACATTGGGTATTATGTGCTTTTTTTATATATATATATGTATATATGCAAATAACTTACTAATTCGGTTGGCAGAAAAAAGCTGTATCCTCCATGTTTTAGTTCGCTTTCTTGGAGTGTTAGTGCAGTTTAACATGTGATAATTATCTGTTCAGCATTTGTATTTCTTTCTGTGACTTGTCCATGTCCTTTGTCACTTTTCTTTTGGAGTGTGCCATCTTTCATCTCATTGTGAGAGCTGGCTGGAGTTCTCTCTCCGCACGTGTTTGTCATAAGTTCGTGTTAATCGAGCACTCACTATATACAAGGCACACTTGTATATCTCACTGAATCCTCATGAAGTGCTTCAAGTCAAACACTGCATCACCCCACGTTCCAGATGAGGGAAGTGAGCCTAAGAAGGGGGGACTGACCTGCTCAGGTCCAGAGTTGTACCGTGGGGTCTGGATTTGAGCCAGCTCTCACAGCCCATCTGACCCCTACCCTGATCCCTTATGCTTCTCCTCCCAGCCTTGGCGCAAGAATTTGAACTGGTTCTTATGGTTCACTTGCACTGGATCCCGGAGTCTGATGAGGCGCCCGGCCCTAAGGAGTTTCCCCCGGCTGCTGGGCAGTGGGAAGTAGGGAAAGCAATTGGGCTGCTGGGCAGCCACACCTGGGAAGTGCTTACGAAGTGCCTGGTTCCCAGGGTAGCTGGAGGGGGTGGAAGAGGGTCTTATTGTTCCAGGGACCAGTCATCTGGCTGGTTCTCCCTGAGCTGGATGTTTCACATACCAGAAGGCGCACCCCGGGGCATACCTTCTGGTGAGCAGTGTTGCTGGGGCACCGCCCAGGGAGGCACCTGGAGAGAAAAGGCAGTGTCCTGGGCCTCACCCACTAGAGCAGAAAACCAGCCCCAAAGCCCCTCCCCACCGAAAGCCAAAGTGGGACTGTGCTCTCAGCTGTCATCTCTCCCTGTTGGCTGACGTGGGGTGGGAAGAGTCCCTTTTTGAAATTATCTGTGATGTTCCCATGGTGCTTTGGGGGCCTGACCCCTGACCCTAGCCTCTATCACCCAACCCTAGTTGTAATCCCTCTTCTCCCATCTTCTTGCCCACAGGCAACCTTCGCAGCTACAACCTCGCGACCCCGAACCTGACAGCCCCCAGCCTCACACCCCCACAGCTGGCCACCCCAAATCTACAGCAGTTCTTTCCTCAGGCCACTCAGCAGTCCCTGCTGGGCCCCCCTCCTGTCAGGGTCCCCATACACCCCTCCAAGATCATGCTTTCGGGGCGGACCCCCCCAAAACAGACCCGGACACCCCCCTCCACCGCCCCCGATCACAAGGTGAGTGGCAGCCGGGGTGGAGTGGGCGGGGCTGGCCTGGGCACCGACCCAGATCCCCACTCCGGCTCACACTGGGCCTTCGGGCAGGCCACAGCCCTCTTTGTGCCTCAGTTTCTTCATCTGTGGAAAGAGCAGGAGGTGGATGGGACCTGTGTAGTGCTTCCCGAACTTCAAATATTCCCGAACCCCTGATGCGATCTTTGCTGTGTCCAAACACTACCAGTGTTATTATTTACCTAAAACTTCTGTTTTGGAAAAATTTGAGATGTAATTGACATATAACACTGTATGAGTTTTAGGTGTACTCCGACAATTCTTAAAATCAGTACCGCCCAGCCCTGGCTGGTGTGGCTCATTTGGTTGGAACGTCATCCCATAAACCAAGAGGTTGCAGTTTGATTTCCAGTCAGGACACATGCCTGGGTTGCATGTTCGATCCCTGGTTGGGGCCTGTACAAGGACCAGCCCATCAATGTTTCTCTTCCTTTCTCTCCTTCCCTTGCCCTCTCTCTCTCTCTTTTTTTTTGGTTAAAGATTTTATTTATTTTGGGAGAAGGGAAGGAGAGATGGAGAGAGAAATATCAATGTGTGATTGCCTCTCACATGCCCTCAACTGGGGACCTGGCCCACAACCCAGGCATGTGCCCTGACTGGGAATCGAACCAGTGACCTTTCGGTTTGCAGGCTGGTGCTCACTCCACTGAGCCACACCAGCCGGCCACCCGCCTCATTTTGCATATGGGAAAACTGAGGCACAGAGCGGGTGGAGGTCGCTCTGGGCTGCGCAGCTGTCTGGACGGACCGGAGCTGAGCCTCCTGACTGGAAGGCCAGGCCCGTGCCGTGCAGGGTGAGAGCTGGCTGGTTTCCGAAGGGCAAGGAGTCCTGGTGCGGTGCAGGGTCCAGCTCATTACTGGTTCCTTGGGCTGACTAGCAGGGGGGAGAGGGGGTCCTCCTGGGCTTCCTGGGGGGTGGGGCTGGAAACAGCTGGAGCCGCGCAGTTATTTAGCAGACATCTGTAAGTCCCTGCAGGGCACTCCGTGGTCTGGCCCTCCTGGATATCTTGGTCTGGGAAGGAGGGTAAGACATTAATGCAAATAATGTTCCCACCAATTCATTAAGTGCCACAGTGGGGAAGCCAAAGGCCCTCTGGGGACCTGTGCTAGGGGTCTGGACCTACTGTGGCATCCGGAAGGCTTCCTGCAAGAAGTACCTTTGAGGCTCTGGGTGAAGGCCTGGCTGGGCCTTTGGGGAACCAGAGAGAAGACCAGTGTGGATGTAGAGGGGGGCGGGGGGAAGCTGAGGCTGGAGGGTGGGTGCGGGGCAGAGGTCATTTTGTGTAGGAGGGAGGGTAGGTGGTGTCAGGCTTGGGCGAGAGGGGCACTCCAGGCCTAGGGGAAGTCACAGGGCGGTTCCCGCCTGGTCCAGACAAGAGACATGACCAGGTTTGCATTTGAGAAGGGTCCCTCTGGCTGCTTTGTGGAGAAGAGGTGTCAGGAGACAGCTTGGTGGACAGAAGGGGGCTTGTGTCCCCCAAAGCTGGGTTTACTTAACTGTCAGGCAACTGGATGGAACTCCTGGACATGATTCCCGGGCCATTTAAGAGCATCTCCTGGCAGCTCTGGGACCTGGCCCACCTGAGGTTCCCAGGCCCCTTCGTGTCCTGGGGGCTGTGGCAGCCTCTCTTGGGCAGGAGCATATTCACAAGGGTGGGTGGTGGAGGGCAGGAACGGTTTCTGAAAGGCAGCAGGATTCTTCTTCTCAGACGACGCCTGTGAAAGACAAGGCGGACCCCGCAGAGGGGTCTGAGGACGCCGCTGAGCCCCGAGCAGACACGCCAGGTGAGGGAGGCTGCTGGTCCTTTGGAGGGGACGTGGGGTGGGGCAGGTGGGTGAGGGGTTGGTAGTGGAGGCAGATCTGGCAGGTGGGGATCTTGGTAGGGGGTGAGCCCGGGCCCTATCTCCCCGAGATTGTTTGTGTCTAACCTGTCCCTGGCAGTCCCTCATCTGCCCTTCATTCAAGACCGTGCCTCTCCTCCCTGCCCAGATGACTTTGCTAAGGAGAAACACACTTCAGCACCTGAGCCGGAGTCCTGTGAGGCGACTGAGCCTCCAGCTAAAAGGTCAAAGAGGTAATTGATGCTGGACCCCTGCTTTATTCTCATTTCTGCAAAGGCAGGGGGTGGGCATAGGTGGGGCCAGGACCATTCAGGGGAGATGGAGCCAGGGAAGGGCCTTGGCCTCCGGCTTGGAGGAAGGTTGAACCTAATTCTGCACCTCTCCTGGGGAAGCCCCAGGCCAAACAGACTTGGGTGTCTTCGCTGTGACTGAGCCACCTGGAAGCAGATGAGGTGGGCAGGTTGGAGGGGTAAAGGTGTGCGGAGGGACCTCATGGTGGGCAGAGAGTGGGTAGCAAGGTGTGGGGGGGTGGGGAGAGCAAGGGATCCTGCCAGATTTTTTAGGGGAAACTGGGGCCCTGAGAACCAAGGGGGCCTTGCCCAAACATCCAGCTGGAACGCGGTAGGAAGAGGATCGGAATCTGGGTCTTGGCCTTTCCCGGGATCCCCTTAGGGCCATCTGGAGGACATGAGTTTGACCTCCTTTTGGTCCTTCCTAGCTCAGAGGAGCCCACAGAGAAGGGACCCTCAGGGCAGCTGCAGGCGAAGGTCCAGCCACAGGCCCGGATGACAGCGCCAAAGCAGACACAGACACCAGAGCTGCTGCCTGAGCCGCTGGAGGCTCGAGTACTGCCACGGTTCCAGCCCCAGGTTCTGCAGATGCAGACCCAGGTGCAGCCACAGACTCAGCAGCCTCAGGTGCCACCCGTGGATGCCCAGGTGCAGCCAAAGCTGCAGAAGCAGGCACAGACACAGACCTCTCCAGAGCACTTAGTGCCGCAGCAGGTGCCGCCAAAGCTGCAGCAGGAGGCTGAGCCACGGCAGCAGGTGCAGCCACAGGCACAATTGCAGCCCCCTTGGCAGGCACAGCCACAGCCGCAGCTGCAGCCACAGTCACAGAAGCAGAAGCAGGCACAGACGCAGACGTATCCCCAGGCCCAGGCAGGAACACAGGCAAAGGTGCAGACACTGGAGAAGCCACTGGAGCAACCTCCAGTGCAGTTGCCAGTGCTGCCCTCGGACCAGACCCAGGGGCAGGCTCCAGCTCAGACCCAGCCACAGGTGGCAGCATCGGAGCAAGCACCAGTTCTGGGTCATTCTCCTGTGCTGGAAACACCACCCAGTACGGTAGAAACTGGAGCAGGTAAGCGAGCGCCGGTTCCCAGCTGGCCCCGTGATGGGGCAGCTCTGCCCAACCCCCTCTTTCCTCCCCTGACACTGTCCAGCCCTGGCTGAGCACTGCCTGGGACCAAGGGGTGGCCCTAGAACCGGGCTTGGGAACACCACGCCAGAGGCTTCAAGGCCTTGCTGAGCACAGCAGGTGGCCCTTTGGCCCAGGTCCCTCTGGGTCAGGTGGGAGGCGGGCCCTGGGAAACAGCACATCTGTCATTCCAGGCCTGGAGGAGGCCTCCCCAGAGCCAGTGGGCGCCCAGGTCAGCATGGAGGAGAGCCAGGAGGAGCTGACTCGTGGCCTGGATGTGGGAGAATGTGAAAAAAGAGCGAGAGAGATGCTCAGGGTGGGTAGAGATGCTAACGTGGCAGCGTGAGGACCACAGTGCCCAGCAGTCGGAGGGCCTCTGTCTGTCCCAGCCCCGGTCAGGGCCCCCTCGTGTTTCCCCCGCTGGGGCAGGTGACCACAGCCCTCCATCTGGGCAGCACAGAGCGGGGTTGACGGGGGTCCGCCAAACTCTCATGCTGCTGTGTTGCCTTCGTGTGCCTTTGCTCTGAAGATCCGGAGACGCTTAGGTGACAACAGTCCCTTGCGTCCTGCTCATCCCAAATAGAGCCCCTGGTGCCCTCACATGGGTGACGTTGCTCTTTGGAGGGAAGAGTGGCAGCCTGTGCTGGGGGTTTGGGTCCCGGCTCTGCTCCAGAGTGGACTGTGGTCACACCCACTCCCTTCTTTGTGTCTGTTTCTCCATCTGTCACGTGTGGGCGGGTGGGCTTTAGATTTAGGTGGCCCTGGGTTTGAATCCCGACTGTAGTGCCTTCTAACTATATGAGCTTGGGCAATCATCTAAGAGCTCAGAGCCTCAGTTTCCCCATCTGTAAAGCGGGCCGTCAGGCCCGAGGAGGTGATACTCATAGGTGTGTGGTACTGGGGCTGGCTCACCATAAGCACCCAGCTGGTGGTAGCTCTGCTCCTGTTCCCGGTGCAGGTGTGGGGTGCCGGGGGCTCCCTGAAGGTCACCATCCTGCAGAGCAGTGACAGCAGGGCCTTTAGCACTGTATCCATCGCACCGGGGCCACGTTCCAGCGACTCGACCTCCGCTGCCCCCGCTTCCGCCAGCACACCCTCCGAGCTGGCCCCCCAGTTCTTCTGCTACATCTGCAGGGCCAGCTGCCGCGGCCAGCAGGTGCTGCCCCCATGCCCTGGGCGGTGGACAGGCTCTGTGTGGGGTGGGGGGACACCCATGTCCACAGCAGCCTGCGTGGCCCCGTGGGCCCCACCCCTGCTGGCAGCCATGCATCTGTTCAGAACACTTTCTCTGACCTCCCCGAAGGCAGAGTTTTCCAGTCAGGCAGAGCTGGTTTGAATCAGCCCTGACCAGCATAGACCTCAGGAGGCGAATTCATCCTTTGTGCCTCAGTTTCCTCGTGGGTCAGATGAAGAAACATTTAGAACCCAGCACATCAGGTGGTTTTGAGGATTCGGCAACTTGACATTGAGCTCATGAGCCGCAGGCCCAGCCTGTAGTGGCATTAGTGACAGCGTTATACTTGTGTCATTATTCCTGGTGCTCTTGGTACAAGGCGGGAAGCCTCCCAGGCCCCGGCGCTGACCGTGTGCCGGGGCCCAGTCCTCACGCCCATCCCCGATTCCCTGTTGTCGCAGGAGTTCCAGGACCATGTGTCGGGGGCCCAGCACCAGCAGCGGCTCGGGGAGATGCAGCACACGAGCCAGGCCTGCCTCCTGTCCCTGCTGCCTGTGCCCCGGGATGTCCTGGACAGAGAGGACGAGTGAGTGCAGGGTCTCGGAGGCCCGGTGCCAGGGGGAGGGGCGGGCGGTCTGGCAGGCCGGGTGACAGCCCTCTGCAAGGTCTGCCTTTGTGTCAGGCTTTGTTCCCCCCCCGCAGAGGCCTCTTCACCCCAGTAGCTGTGTGACCTTGGACCTCAGTTTTCCCCATCTGTAAAATGGCCTGCCACCGGGTGTGAGGCAGGAATTCTTGAACCAGGCAGCTTCTTAAGGTTCCATTCAGGCAGGAACAGTGCACCCACCCATGCGGGAAGGCAGCGGGTGGTGACACGGGGGGCTGCTCCCTTGGCATTCGTGCAGACCCTCACACGGGCATGATTTTGAGGGCCAGGTCATCCTGGGGCTTGCGGTTAGGTTACCCTGGGTCTCCGCTTTTCGGTCATGGGTGCTCAGTGAGGCAGAAATGTCAGCCCTCCTGGAGTTGGAGACCAGCTCTTCGGGTGGGAGGGTAGAAGCTGGGGGACCTTCTGTGATCCTGTGGGCAGTCGCAGAGGCCTGCAGGGGCCAGGAGATGCCATTCCCGAGGGAAGCAGGTCGGTGTTGGCTCGGGCTGCCTGGGGGACCTGGGCTCTGTGTCATGGGATGGCTGCCCTTCAGCTCCAGGTCTGGTTTTTCAGAAGAATCCAGAAACCCAGATTTGTAGGTGAAATCTCCCAACTTCAAAATAGCTAGTTCAGAACTGAAACTAAACAAACCCTGCGGAGGCCAAAAGATACCCTTTCACAGGCCGGGCAAGCCCTGAGCCTTCACACAGGGTCCCAGCTTGAAGTCCCCTCTGCAGGGAGGGCACAGGGGCCCTGAGCGACAGGGAGCACCCTCTCCGAGGGCAGCTGTTTCTCTGTTCGCGGGAATCACTTTGGGAAAAGCTTTCCGACGTGGGTTTCCAGGACGTTCTCTCTCCTGAAACCTCCCCCTGTGCCTGACCTACGAGTCACACTTGGGTGCATGAATCATCAGCACGGGCCAAAGGCGACTCACAAGGTTGTCTCTTGCAAAGTTAATGTAATGCGGAAACAATTTAATTGGCAATGATCTAAAATATCCAAAACTAGTGGATTAGTTAGATCGGTCAAGTCTCGTCCATGTGGCAGAACAACTGACACAGAGGCCAGCAGTGGAAATGCATGATAAGGCAGGACATGCACAGGACGCAGTTCATTAGAACTGCTCGTTAGAACAGGGTCCCAGGTTGCATTTGCAGAATGAACTTGATGCTGTCAAAATCGGCCTCATGGCACAAGGACACCGGGCGGATGTAGCCCAGGCTCTTAACAAGCTTCAGGTGGGCGGGATTCCTGGCCTCGTCTCCTGTTGGCAGCACCCCCGTCCCCCCTCCTGACCCAGTGCCCTGAGGCCAGGCAGACCTGGCGGTGCTTCAGATCAGCTGCCTGCCCTTCCCTCATCTGACACTCAGGATGAAGCCAGGCCCCAGGGACTCAAGGGGTGGAGTCCTGGGCCCCCCACAGCCCAGGGCGAGTGGAGAAGGGATTTGGCCCTGACAAGTCACCGTGAGCAATGCCCTGGTTGCGGCACTTTGGAGCCTCAGATGGGAGCTGGCTTCCTTGGATGAGGCAGGTCCAGAAATGGGCCGAGGGGCAAGAACGGCTCTGGGAAGCACAGGCATTTAAACTGGAGGGTGAAGAGGTTTTCAAGGCCAGGTGTTCTCGGTTGTGTCACTGTCCTGGTAACCCTATGGTGTCCTAAATGCTTCTAACATTTCTCCCCCAAGTTTCCTTGGTTATTCTGTTTTATTTTTTTAAAGATTTTATTTTATTTATTTTTAGACTGAGGGGAAGGGAGGAAGAGAGGGAAAGAAACATTAATGTGTGGTTGCCTCTTTGTGTGCCCCTCCTTGGGGACCTGGCCTGCAACCCAGGCATGTGCCCTGACTGGGAATCAAACCAGTGACCCTTTGGTTCTCAGGCCAGTGCTCAATCCTCTGAGCCACACCAGCCAGGGCTCCTTAGTTATTCTTATGTTAGTATTCTTCCAGATGAAGCTCAGAACTGTTTTATTAAGTTTCCTAAAACGATCCTGTTGGAATAGCACTCCATTTTTGCAGCATCTGGGAGAGTCTCTGTCTCTCTGAGAACACAGTGTCACATCGTGCTACGTGTGTTTTGTTTCTTGTCACTCAGAGACCCTCCTCTGAGGCGCTGGTGCAACACCTGCCAGGTCTACTACGTGGGGGACCTGATCCAGCATCGCAGGACGCAGGACCACAAGGTACGAGGCCCGCGTGCCACCAGGGCGCCCACGTGGGCTGTCTCCGAGCCGGTGGCTGGGAAGGGCGAGCCCAGGGTGGGAGCACAAAGTCGGCATCAGCCTTGGTGTCTGCAAGTGAGGCTTCTCTGTGAGTCAGCCACGCTTCCTCTTTGGGCTTCTGTCTTGCAGTCTGTTCGGTGTGGGCAAGGCACCATCTGCCCTGCCACTGAGCCACTGGGGCTCTCGGGGCTCCTCTCGGCGTTTGTCCTCTCTCCCTGTCTTCTCTCTGTGGCCACCTGCCATCCCATGTCGGAGCCAGTGGCACAGGGAGGGGACGTGTTTGCCCGTGTTCTGGTACAGGAGCAGAGAGCAGCCAGCTGATTACAGATGTGGTGGCCTGCAGGTGGCAGGCGAGGCCTCACTGGGTACTGCCTGGCTGCACCTGGGGACACTGCCCACCTCCCACTTGGCCTGCCTCCTTTCCCCAGATCGCCAAACAGTCCCTGCGACCTTTCTGCACCATTTGCAGCCGCTACTTCAAGACCCCACGCAAGTTTGTGGAACACGTCAAGTCCCAGGGGCACAAGGACAAAGCCAAGGAGGTAACTGCAGCTCCCTCAGAGGACCTAGGCCCAGCGGTACAGAGTCGCGGCCAAGGCCACACAGCAGGATGAGCTGTATCCCGGCCCTAATGCAGAGCAGGAACTGGGACTCCAGGGCTGTGGGGCGGAGAACGGGTGGCTCCTCGGCTGCCCAGAGCTGACGTGAGTCCTGGTCTGCTCCCCTGGGCAGCTGAAGATGTTCGAGAAGGAGGTAACCGGCCAAGATGAGGATCACTTCATCACAGTGGATGCTGTGGGCTGCTTTGAGGATGATGAAGATGAGGAAGATGATGATAATGAAGAAGAAGAAGAAGAAGAAGAAGAAGAAGAGATCGAGGCTGAGGAGGAATTCTGCAAGCAGGTGCTAGGAGGGAGGAGGGAATTGGGAGGCAGGGTGGAGGCTGGACCCCGAGCCCAGCGGGGACCTCGCCACACCTCCCAGGGGCCAGGAGGCACTGTGCTGGCATTTATAGGCACTGATGCTCCGCCTTAGTAACAACAGTAACTGTATTCTACGTGACTATGTAACTAACTACACATCGCCATGACTGGAGGGTGGCAGTGAAATAAGCAGGGCCTTGAAGCTTGGCTGAAACTCTGACCTGCATCAAAGAAGGGAAAGGGCATCCTAGGCCAAGGGAACAGCATCGGTAAAGGCACAGGTGGGGAACCACGCGGGGCACACAGGAAACGGCAGTGTGAGAGGCTGCCGAGGGTGATAGCCAGCTAGAGCAGTCAGCGTTTTCTGAGCACCTACTCTATTCCAGGTGCGTACCAAGCAAGCACTCTCCTGGCAGAACCTCACAGATGTGGGTGCCAGGTTGTGTTTGGAACGCCCCTGCTGCTTTGCCTCCTGAGAGCCAGGAGCTGGGGAAACATGGATATTTTTCAGTTTAACAGATGTTTCCAGAGCCCCTGTCCTGGGCCAGGCCCTGGTGCTGGACACCAGGGATACATGGGGCCCAAGGCCTGGCCCCTGCCCTCGTAGACCTCACCCATTAAGACGGGGCAGCAGAGGAATTGTGGGTGGGGGTTGCCAGGGTGGCTTCCAGCGCCGAGCAGGTTAGGGGTACAGCCGGCTTTGCTTCTCAGTGTCGGTTGCAGTGTCCCAGGCAAGCCTCTGCCGTCTCTGAACCTGTGGCCTCTGCTCAGAAGCAACAGTCCCAGCTCAGGCTGTGAGGGAGGGTCACAGCCAGGGTGGCAAACAGGAGTGGCTGTCACCCCTAGAAGCCATGTGTATTTGCCTGGTATGTGGTAGAAGGCACTGCCAGGAGCGGTGATGCTGGCGTGGCTGGAGCCGGATGGCCTCATCTGGGAGGGAGGGGCTTATGTCCTACTCAGGGAGTAGGCAAGACTTGGGGCCTACTGGGGTTTACCACCTTGCTCCTTCCTGAACTGGCTGTATAACATGGAGCTAGTGAGTTAATGTGTCTGGGCCTCACTTTCTGCATATGGAAAATTCATGAACCATAGATGGCTGTGAAGATTCAAGGAGATGATGTGTGTGATGCGTTGGGCATACTTGGCATGGATGAGGAGCAGGAGGGCTTCCTGGAGGATGGGACTGAATGAGCTGAGCCTACGATGCATAGATTGGGAAGGGTGCTCTGGGAGGCAGGTGCAGCAGGTGCAAAGGCTCCAAGAATGCCACCCACCACCTTCCCAAAGTCGAGTCTGTGTTCAAGAGCACGGGTGTGTTCCAGGGCTCCCCACCCCCATTCAGGGGTGGGAGGTTCTGGGGGAAGCCAGATCCGAGGCCCCCCTGCCTGCATGTCTCCAGGTGAGATCCAAAGGCGTATCCACAGAGGAGTGGAAGAACTCAGAGACCTACAACCCCAACACTGCGTATGGTAAGGCCCCCAGCTCTGGTCCCAGACTCAGGTGACCCCCAGATCCCAGCTACAGCATCCTGGCCAGACCGCCTATCCACTCGCAAAAAAGGCAGACCCATTCATCGTTTGAGGTGCCTGCACACTGCCTCCCACAGTGGCCGGCTGCACAATCCCCGTTCCCACCAACGGGGCAAAAAGGTTCCTCTTCCCTTACGTCCTCAACAGCCCTTGTTGTTTGTCAATTTGCTGGTGATAGCCATTCTGACAGGGCTGAGATGCTACCTGATGGTGGGGGAATAAAAGGGCCCTAAAGAGGGTGGCGCACCCGGCTGGCACGGGGGAACGTAAGTGCGCAGACCCTGCTGTCCCACAGGCGTGGACTTCATGGTGCCCGTCGTGGGCTATGTCTGCCGCATCTGCCACAAGTTCTACCACAGCAACTCGGAGGCAAAGATCTCCCACTGCAAGTCCTTGGCCCACTTCGAGAACCTGCAGGTGAGCTGGGCCTCCTGCCCCACCCCACCCTGCCCAGGACTCTGCCTCCATCCAAAATAATGGGGGTGACAGCCAGTGGCCACCTCCCTCCTGTGCTGGACATCAGTCCTCAGGCACATGCCCCAGCAGAGAGGCCCTGCCCACAAGGGGAATAAGAAAACCAGTCTGGGGCTGGGCTCTTTCTGTTCTTTCTCTGGGGAGAGGGTGGGGGTGTGGGCAGTGCTGAGGGGCCAGGCTGTTAGCTGCAGAGTTCTGGCCCAGGAAGGCAGAGTGCAGCACACAGGGCCACACAGCGCGTCCAGTGCTGTCTTAGCCAGGTGGGGGAACAGCTGCCGGCCAGGGTACATCAGAATGGGAGGGAGCCCTGCCTCACCTGCGCCCTCTGTGTCCAGAAATACAAGAAGGCCAAGAACCCCAGCCCTGCCACCAGGCCCGTGAGCCGCCGGTGTGCGATCACTGCCCGGAACGCCCTGACGGCTCTGTTCACCTCCAGCGGCCGCTCGCACACCCAGCCCGGCCTCCAGGACACAGCCAAGGGCGCCAAGGTCCACCACAGCAAGGTGACGGCCCAGTCTTCCCAGCCCCCACCTTTTCGGCGCTCAGCCCGGCTCAAAACCTGATAGGAGGAGCTCCCCACACCCACCTGGTCTGGGTCCAGATGGATGCTGTTTAGAGCCTACATGGAAACTTTGACATGGCATTTTTACTCAGAACCCAATAAAAAGAAGGTAGTTTGGCTGCCTAGTGCCCACCAGCACTTCTGTCTGGGCAGACAGCAGGAGGGGAGCACCCCAGCCAGCCTAAACCTGAGCCCAGCCTCTCCAGGCACTGTGTGGGGCCAAACTGGACAGCCAGACGGGTTCCCTAACCAGGGACTCTGGGATCACAAGGCACTTCACTTCTCTGAGCCTCAGTTTCCCTCTTAATAATGTATCAGGGCTAGGAAAGTGCCTTCAAGTGAGATCTCATTTAATCTTCACAGCGACTCTAGGAGGGAGGTCTTGGTACCCCCAGATTCCAGATGAAGAAACTGAGGCCTAGCCAGATCAAGTGACTTGCCGAAGGTCATACATCTGGTGAATGGCCAGGATTTGATCCTGGCCTGAGCTCTGGACCCCTGTGCTAGCCTCTCTCCAGCTGGATCCTGTGGAAGGTCAAGTGCAGAAGGGGTTGCACCCCTTGCCTGGCTGCTCCTCTGCTTCTGAGTTCATGGGGCTCCAGTGGGGACTCTGCCCTTCCCGTCAGGTGACCCAGGATGAATCATCAGTGGGCAGAGCCTCAGCTGAGTTGGATCTGTAGTTCTGCTGTTTCCCCATTTGGGAAGACCCTTACAGATTGCCAGTCGGACCAACTGGGGAGGCTGAGGCCAAGAATAGGAGGGTGGTGCCCAAGGTTGCACAGCATGTCTTGGTGTTTTAGTGAAAGGCCTGGTCCCCAGAGAAGCCAAGTGCATCACACGGGGTCACGCAGCATGCCTGATACCGTCTCAGGCATGGGAAGCCGCTGCTGGCCAGGAGCGTACCAGGTGGGGAGGAAGTCCCGACCTTACCTGTACCCTCTGTGTCCAGAAATAAAGAAGGCAAGAACCCTGTCCCCACCTCCACACCCGTGAGCAGCCGGCGCGTGAGCAACACCTGGAACACCCTGCCTGCTCCGTTGACCTCAGCCACTGGGGTCCCCATCCCAGGACACAAAGGCGCAGCGGTGTTGGAAACCAGTTTAATACGGACATTCAAGGCCTAGGCAGAGTGGAGAGTGCCCAGGAGCTGGGCAGGCAGGCAGGCGGGCGGTGGCCGGCCCACACCTGGCCCAGGAGGGAAGGCCGGGTGTTGGGGGTCGGCCCAGACACGCCAAGGGGAGTCCCTGAAGAGTGGCTCAGGCAGTCAGGGCCACCAGAGGACCTGTACGCCAGCCCTTGAGAAGGTATCTAAGTCAGGTGGTGAGTGCCCAGGCTAGAGCCGAGCCCAGGGAGGCAGGATTGGGGCTTGGTTTGGGGCTCCTGGAGTCTAAGGGCTGGCATCGCTGGGGGTCTCCCCCAGCTGCTGCTGGAACTCCAGGCGCGTCTGCCGGTTGGACTCCAGCAGCTCCTGGAGGCGGGCGTGGAGGTGGTCGTTCTTCTCTTCCAGGTGGTCCAGACAGGAATTGATCTGGTCCAGCATGGAGTTGATGGCAGCATATTCTGGAAGGAAGGGGAAGGACAGACAAGATTCTGGGTCTCCCCAGGGCTCACAGACATCCCTCACCCCCAACCATCATCCCCCAGCCTTCTACTCCTTCCTGAGCCTCGGTGTCACCACCTGGAAAATGGGTGGATAACTAAAGAGGACAGGATGTAGAGAAACAATACCTCAGCTCCCCATCCTATTCTCCAGGGTTAGGGTGGTCAGGGGGAGGTGAGCCAGGGTCCTGCATGGGAAGTCCTGCCAGTCTCTTTTCCAAGTCCTTTATCTGCTCACAGGCCAGAGCTCACATTTCTGAGTCAGGCCGCTCAGGCCTCTGTCCCCAGGCCCGCCCATCTTTCTAGCTCTTCCATGGCCTTTGACCTTAGGATCAAGCACCCAGAGGACTCTAAGACTCCACTCTCCTCTCTGGCCCCGCCTCCCATGCCTTTCCCTTTCCTTTCTCGCATCTGCCTCTGTCCACCTCAGGGCCCTTGAACATGCTGTTGACTATGCCTGGAATGTGCTGTGTCCTCCTCCTGTCTCTCCTCCCTCCTCTCCTGGATGAGTCCTGTTCCTCAAGTCTCAGCGAGGATGCATGCAGGGAGCCTTCCCAACACCCCAGACTGGATCAGGCCCCTATGCCTGATTCCCCTCCTCACACCTCCATGCCTGCACCTCCAGATGGACTGATGCAGTTACCTGTGGGCTGGTCTGTCCTCCCTATCAGACTACAGAGCTCTGTGAGCAGTGCAGTGGCCTCATGTTCACTGCTGTTTCCGAGAGGCCCTCACTGTCACACAACAAGCATTTGTTGAGTGAATGAATGAATGAGTGAATGAATGAAGCCTCTAACTTTTCAGCCTTTTTGCCTTTGCTCAACTATCCCTGCCACCCAAAATGCCTCAACCACAACAGCTGTTTGAAGACCAGTTCAAAACACCTCTTCTGAGAAGCCTTCCCTGGTGTCCACCAGAAACCATCACTCCCTCCTTCACAGCCACTTCTGACCTGCCTCTCTCAGCAACACAGTGTCCCTTAGTACCCAAGGGCTGAGCCTGTGCCCACTGCAGGAGCAAGTTCTGAGCCAGTCCATGACTCAGATACACTCTGCTGCCAGCTTGGGACAAAGGGGAAGTAGCTGGCAGTGTTTGGAGTAGGCTAGGGCTGGAGGACGTCTGGGATATGGGTGCACATGTGTCTGCATTCTGGTGTCTGGAGGAAGCACCCATCACAGCTTGCAGAAGCCAGGGTCCTGGATAGTGTCTTCTGGGTTTTACAGTCTTAACACTTTGTGGCAGTTTCCCACAGATGGGGAAACTGAGGCCCAGAAAGGAAGGGACTTGCCCAGGGCCCACCAGCTGGTTGGTGGCAGAGCCAAGATTCAGACTTGGGAAGCAGGGCACTAGAGCTTCAGGCCCAGCTCTGTTCCATCGCAAGAAGTTACTGCACCTTTCTGGAAGAGGGAATAACTGGGTGGCTGTGAGGGTTCAAAGATATGAGGAGGTCAGATAGGGCCCAGCTGCAGCAAATATGTGGTCCATGTTGTCAACACCTCACAATCTGTGTCATGAGACACAGCCAGGAGGAGGATGGGGCAGCGGCATCTCCATACCACTGGGGCCAGGCATTTTCTGTGTCAAGGCCACTCCCCAGTTCTGAGCCTTTGCCTCCCTCCTCCCGCTGCACTAAGTCCTGTGAATCTGCCAGGGACCACTCGATGTGACTCTGGGGAGGCCCTTCCTGGTGCTGCTTTGCACCCATCTGGCCGCTGTTCATCAGCAGTGTCCAGGGCAAAGTGACCAGCCTACCACTTTCCCCCATGGGAGCCCCTCGTTGATGTTAAGTATTCTGAAACTATTGTGATTATTGCACACTCTGGATATTCTGAAATCCACTGAATTGTACAGTTTAAATGGATGAGTTGTCTGGTATGTGAATTATAGCTCAATAAAGCTGTTACTAAAACTAAACGCAAAGCTCTATACCTCATATCTACTAAGTCCTGCGCTCGCAGTCAATACAACAATCTTTATTACACTAAAGGGAATAATGATAACCACTTACTGAACCCTTGCATCTTGGGACCTACTAAATATTTTCCATTCATTTTCCCATTTAATCCTGACACATCTCAATGAACAAGGCATTAATCATTTTACAGACGGGGAAACAGGCTCCAGAGGGTGAGAAAGGAGTTGATAGTTCTCTCTCCACACCTCACTTCCCACCCACCGCAGTGCTGGGCACGCAACAGGCTGCTTTATAAACACGTCGCATTCGCCAGGGCTCCAAGCCCCACCAGAGAAGGTGGCTGAGGATGCTGACTCAGCAAGGGCACTCGCGCAGCCCTTTCTGCTGAGCCGAGGAGGTCCACCGGCCCCGCCTCCTCAGGAGCCTATGGCCCTACAAGGGCCCAACGAAGGGGCTGGAGCAAATCCCCAAAGGGCGAATGTCCCTGAAGCAGCCTCAGTTTCCCCGTCTGTAAACCGGGGCCAGATGCCCAGTTCTCAAATATTGCAGTTTCCAGGGACGCACTCGTAGGTGCTCGTCCTTAATTCCGAGACGGCGCCTGCAGATGCAACCTAACCAGAGGCGAGGGGTTGGAGGGCTCCTTCCTTCCAAACCCTTGTCCCGGCCCTGACCCCCATTCCCAGGAAGGTACCCCTGAGAAAGCAAAGGTCACTTCTGCCCTTTCCCCGAGTCACCTGCTTCCCCGAAGCCGTCATCCTCGCCTTCCGCGTCCGCCTCGACCGGCATGCCCAGGTCCCCGTTGGGGCCCGACATTGCAGGCTCGGGCTCCGCAGGGACCACAAGACGCGGAAACGAGGCTACCGTCACGTCAATAGCCGGTGCGGGACGTAAAGTGAAGGCGGTGGATGGAACGCAGGGCCGGAAGGGTGGAACCGCGCGGATTAACGCAACCCGGAGCGGGGCCCTGAGGCCCCGCCCCCAAGGCACCAGCCGCTTCGCCGGAGCTCCGCCCCAGCCTCGCCCCGCCCACAAACAGAAAACCGCCCCTGATCGCCATCAGACCTCGCTCCCGCGCCCGGAGTCCCGCCTTTACAGTCAGCCTCGGTTCTCTCGTGAGATACCGGGCTGTCCCCTGGCTGCCCGCCGAGGATCCTAGATGGTGGAAGCTCCCTCCAGCGAGCTGAGCAGAGGAGCAGGGGCGGCCTGTGACACCCCCGAGTCTCTACCCCGATTCTGCTCCCTTTTTGCCCAATCCTGCCGCTGGAGACCTGCCTGCGCCTCCTCGCGAGAGAAATCTGAGACTCATGGTTTCTAAAGACCCTGTAAGGCTTCCGGACCATTTTGAGCTGGGTCCAGAGGTGTGATCTTCTGCAGGGCTCCATATGAGAGTGAGGCGCATGTCCCAGGGGAAAGGGGCTCCTTACGGAGACTCCTGTGGCAGTTGCCACCGTCAGGCCCCATGGCTGCGGCAGCCTGGTCCTGGCCTCACACTGGTTGTTAAGGCCAACCTCAGGAGAGCAGTCAGGCCCAGTTAGACTTCTTGACTAAGACAGCCGGGAGGAGTCTTCTCTGTCCCAGAAGTTGTCCCACTATTTCACCTGAGGAGGGGGCGTCCACAGCCTGTAATCCGGGCCACCACTGACTCGCATATGGGCAGCACCACTGCCTTCTCTCCGAACCAGACTGAGTGCAGGTGAGGCCTCAGCGGAACCAGTGCCTGGCGAATTTTTGTGACTGGTCCCTCACTCAGGTCAGCTGACCCCCTGACTATAAAGTGTGGGCATCCTTCATCCGGTCCTCCGATCAGCAGCCCTCCAGCTAAACCTCCACTCCTCCCCACCAGGGCCGACTACGCCCTCACAGTCCCCTCAGAGATGCCTGTGGCCACAGATGGAGCAGGTGGCAGATAGCACTTGAGTGTTCTTGAAGAGGGATGGATCTTTGGCTCTGAGAGGGCTCTGGGGAGTGCCTGGGGCAGCTGGGGGCTCACATGGGCGGATGTGTGCATCGTGCCTCTCTGTGCCGGTTCCCTGCATGCGTGCGTGCTTGCATCCACCCACTGTGTCTGTGTGGTTGCATCTGTGCGAGCCTTGGCATGTTTCTGGAAATCTGTGTATCTCCCTGAGGGTCTGTCTGTTGCCCATCCCGAGTCTGCATGTTTGTCCCCTGGTCTCTGACCTCTGACCTTGCAAGGGGAGAAGAGGCCGGAGGGGGTTCCTGTATGTGATACAGACACAGAAGGGCTACAGCTGCAGACCGTGGGTGGACAGGAGCTTGTCAGACCCCAGATGCAGGCCCAGTGAAGGGGTGGTGCAGTCCTGGCGCCCTCGAGCCTTCTGGAATCTGGATCCCCAGCAGCATGTGCCCCTCTTTGCCTCCCCCACCCTGTCCCTGATGGTCCAAGAGGTCATCACACAGGTGTGGGTGCGAGACAGTGCTCTGAATGGGGTCAGGATGGGCAGTGCCATCCAGCAGCAGGGGCAGGAGGGTGAGCACTGGGACCACAGGAGTCTGGCAAAGGGGCAGGCGCCTGCCCCTGGTGACCCTCTCTGCCTGGCACAGCCTCATGCTGGGTATTCCCTTGCCTCACCCACTGTGCACCCCTCCTGGCCTGGTGGCCATGTTTCAGCATCCATACGGGTCCTGGTGAGTTGGGGGTGACGGCAGCTGAGCCTCCCCTGTCCCCTCCAGTTCCCTGGCCCTGGCTGAGCCTTGGCTCTAGGACCCATTGCAGGTGTCCGAGTGCAGGCCTGAGGTGTGGGCCTGTAGGTGTTTCCATTGGTCTGGGTACCCCTCAAAGGCCAGGACATGCAGGGGCTCCCACTGGCCTGGTGGTAGGCCCAGGATTGGGAGCTAGGAAGTATTCAGTCAAAGACAGACTCGAGTTCTGTGGCCTCTGTCATCACTGAGGACCACAAGGGAGGTCTGGGAGTGATATTGAGCGCCCACCCACTGCAGGTGGCCGAGGGGTCAAGGAGCACAGACTGGGGGACTGGGAGCATGGGTTTATTTGGCAGTCAGGGAGCAATTCCATCAGCAGGGTGGCTTAGGGGGCAGCTGGGTGGGCTGAACTGTGAGAAGGGTCTCCTGGCCCTCTCACTGGTGTCCAGGCTGGTGGGGGCAGCTGGGCGGCATCTTGGGCAGAGGCTGATGTGAGGGCAATGGGGAAGGAGAGAGACAGGAGGCACCTGAGAGGGACGCAGCGTAGTCATGTTGGCAGCAGTATCGGGTAGGGGTGCCCCGGGCCGCTGCGCTTTGGCTCCCATCAGCCCCGTCCCCGGCCATACTCACCACCTGCTCACTGGTCATCGATGCACTTGTCTGTGGGGGAGACAGTCCGTCACAAATGGGCAGGGTGTGTGTGTGACCCCTGCACTGCCCCTGGGCTGCCCCAGGCCCAAGCCCAGCCAAGCAGCAGAAGATTTAGGGGTTCCCTTCAGGGTTGGGGCAGCAGAAGGGCAGATGAGGGGGGAAGGGAATCTGGAGAAAGGCCTGGGAAGACCTGGTGGGGTGGGGGGCTGGTCACCTGTTCTCCAGAAGAAGCAGATGAGGCCCAGCCACCTGATTGGGCACTTAGGTCTCCTACCCATTAACCTTATCAGCCCTGGCAACTCCTCAGCTTTGGAGAGGTTGGCGGCTCTTTGAGTAGCCTGCCAGATTGCCTGCAGACAAAGGCACCTCCCAAGTCAATGGTGAGTGAGTTCCAGGGTGAGAGAGGAGGAAGCCCAGAACAGCAGAACCTGGGGTGTAGGGAGAGGCAGCCCAGGACAAAGGGGGCCTGGGAGTGTGAGGAGGAAATGGCCCGGGATAGCAGGATCTGGGGTATAGGGGGAGAGGGCCCCAGGTAATGAGACTGAGGAAACTTGGCCTTGGGCCTGAAATGCTCATCTGGATTAGGCCCAAACTGTCTATCAGGGAAGAGCGCTTGGGGCCCTGATCCCTGAGGGCTCCACAGACCCCTGGGTGCGCTGTGGTCCTCCTGAACCCAAAGGGGCTCCCAAGGGGCCCCAGTGACCAGAGCTGGGGACTGAGTCCCTCCTCTCCCCTTTCCCTGGTGGAATGACATCAGACCTGGACAGTCCCCATGTCCCTTTCTCCTCTGCCCAACTGGCCATTACCGATCGGGACAGGGAAGATGATGTGGTCACTGGTGAGGCCCAGGGAGTTGGCGAAGCGGATGAAGTTCTCCCTCAGTTCACGGGGTAGTTCCTTGGTCCTCCCTGCGGTTGAGATGGCCAGTGAACGGCCGGTGGACACACCGTTAATGTTGTTGAGTGAAAGAATGCGCTCAGACCGCGCCAGAGTGGAGGGTCTTCGGAGGGCTCTTTCCCTGGCCTCCTTGGGGCTCGGGGCCGAGGTGGCACTCGGGGAGGCCTTGGGGGCTGAGTGGGGATAGGCTGCTCCCCTCCCTCGAAAGTGACCAGGAGCTGGGTCCCACTGGGGGAGGGGGTGGGTGAAGACCCACCGTAGAGGGTGGTCTTGAAGTACTCCCGGTTTGAGGAGACCTTCTTGAAGAACACCATGGCGAACTGGTTGTAGTTGGTGGCGGCCACTCGCACGGTGTAGCTCTGCAGTCCAGGGTAAGCTATGGGGCGGACAGCGAGGGGTCAGCGCTGGCTGGTTGGACACAGCAGCTCATTTCTCCCCAGCCCCGCACAGGACAACATCGGTGTGGGGTGCAGGGAGGTCTGTTCCCCCTCTGGGAGGACCCTGTACCAGGGACCCCACCCCCAGGGCCCACATTACTTAGGACTCACTCCTAATGTTGCCCAGGGTGTACTGGCCAGGCCGGGAACTTGGAACAAAAGGTCTGATAAAGTAGTCACAGGTCTGGCCCCTGCAGGGGAGAGATGTGTGAATGAGTGGGGGAGACACGCGGGCTTGGCCCGCCTGGGCTGGATGAACTGAGGGCCAGGGCTGCTGCTGGAGGGGCCAGAATCCTGGTGCCCTGGGTCCAGCCCAGCCCACCTTCACCCCCGCAGCTGGCTGGGGCTCTCCCTACCCACCCCGCCCCCGTCCCCGTCTGAGCCCATCCTGGCTGTTCCTGCGTGGGCTGCCCGGGGCCTCCTGACTCTCCAGCACCCACCGTCCTTCCCTCTTCCGGGCTGTCTTCCCTTGGTGGCCTTTCCTGTACACTGTCCTCCCCACCGTGGGCATTGGTCCCCTGCTCTTATCTCGCTGTTTCCCTTTCTATACCCTCTTCTGGGGAATTGACCTGCCAAGGTTCTGGTCTGCTCCGTATCCCAAGGACCGCCCTGGCCCTTGGGCCAGCCCTGACTTCTCACTGTGTCCTTGGCTCCCAAACCCATCCCTGTTCTGCCCCTACTGCACAAATGCTCCAGCCCCTCCCTCTCAGGTGCCAGAACCAGAAACCCACAGGAGCCGGGTGAGCCCTGGCCCCCCACCGTTCCTCTCCCCACTGCGGCCAGAGGGGTCCTGTGCTCCTCATCAGATTTTTTGGGTGCCAGGGTCTGAAGCCCTGGCAGTGTGACTGCCCCCCTACCCCCCAACCCCGCTTCCATGGCTTGTGGCTGCCTAAGCCCCCCGCACCTCCTTCCAAGGCAGGTTGGCTTCTTCAAGGCCTGACCCAGAGGCATCTCCCTGGAAACCCCCAGTGAAGTCCTGGGTGGGGTTCCAGGCTGGGCCCAGTGACCCTCCTCCCACCGCAGGACACCCCCGCTCCTTCTGTCTTGTTTCCTGAGGGCTCTCTGTCCACCCCTGCTACTGTCTACACAGAAGTGACCAATGCATCCTGACGTAACGAATGGAGAAAGGAAGGAGCAAATCTACGAATCTAGGACTGCATAGTAGGATGAATGACTGTCAGCTTCGGTCCTCCCCTGGCCATGACATCAGAACCTAGTCCCGGTCAGCCCCCGTGCCCCCCATGCTCCCTCAGGAGGTGGTGCGTCTCACTTGAGCAAGGTGGAGGTGACATTGTAGCTGTGGTCATCTTTCAGCTCATAGGTGGTGGTGTACATCTTAAACCGGCCTTGTTCTTCTTTTGAAACTGCGTTCCCCGCCAGGCCCACGACATACCACTTCCCCTGGAACTGCAGGGGGCTGGTGATAGGTGGTGTGGGCCCCGGAGGTCCCCGGCTGCTCTGTCCCCGAGTGCACCTCTGGGCAGCCTGGCCCAGAACCAGGAGCCCCTCTACCAGGGCCGAGGGCCCCTTGACTGGGCGCTCAGGCCTGGGCTGGGCCTGTACCGATGAAGCCGGCAGCCGCTGGAGGCCGGCAGGCTGGGAGGGAGCCCGGGGTCTAGTGAGGATGGAGTGACCCTGGGCCGCGGCCAGCTGGTCCCTCTGCACCTCAGTTTCCTCATCATGCAGAGGGACTGAACATGTTCCCACTTTGTGTGGACTTTGGAGATTCTGGGAGGGAGTGTGAAGCTGGGCAGATCAGCAAGGCTGGGGCGGGGATGGGGGCATGGGGCGTGGCTTCTATCAGGGGACCCAAGGATGGACTGAGCGGAACCGCGGGCCCATCCTGTCCTACCACGCTCCCGAAGACTCTGCCCCTCCTCCCTCTGCTCCACTGTTCCTGGGGGCCTCCCCTCAACTGTCCCACCAGGCCCCTTACCTGGTCATCTTGGAAATTTGGCTGCAGCGGGACCCTGGACAGAGGTGGGGCTGGGATCAGGTTTTTGGTGGGGCCATGAGCCTGGGTCTGCAGGACACCCAGCAGAGTGAGGCCCAGCCACAGGAGACCTGGAAGCATGGTTTCGGGGCTGAGGCAGCTGGGCAGCTGCTGAGCCTGGCAGGCGGTGGAGTAAGGGGAGGTGAGTGAGGAGGCTGGCCCTGGCCCCTATTTATGGTCCCCCTGCTCACCGACTCACCCCGGGGTGGAGTAATTTGCCCTTTGGCAAATTCAGGAAGGGTGAGGTAACTTCCAGCAGCTCCTGCTGAAACTTTTGGTAAGATTTCTGCCCCTTTTCTCCATGGCAGGATTGTGCAACATGGACAGGCGGGAAGGCCAGAGGAGACAAGAGGGGACTTTCCCCAGGACTCTGCACCTCTGCCGGGACAAGGGCCCCCCCGAGCACTGTCCGAGTCCCTTCCCTCCTCTCTGGGAGGCTCTGTTTGTGTTCATTAGTCCGGATCTGGTCCGTCATCTCTGACCTCCAGGAGCCCCTGCTTGGCCCAAGGCCAAGGTGAGGTACTGCGGTGAGACTCCCTTCCCTGGCACCCGATGAATACCGTCAATGCTTCACTGCAACAGATCATGTCCTTGTTCCTGGTTCTCAGAAGGGACAGAGATGGGTGGGGCAGCTAAAAGTAGAAGGAACATAGTGTATTTCCTGAGGTCTCAAAGCCCAACTCCTGGCCCTCCAGGTGCCAACCCTGACACAGGGGAGAACCCTCCTCAGAGTCTGATCTGCGAGGATCTCGCCTAGAGTGGCCCCTCTCACCCTCCACGCCCCGTCGGCAGCAGTGCACCTGGACCGAAGCTGACCCCTGCGGACTTGGCCCCTCCTGTGGGCCCAGTGGGCAGAGACCCCCAGCTCAACAGAACAGTGTGGAGGCTGCAGTCCCACCTTTATCCGCATGGGGGGACAATGAGGGGTGCGAACCTGTGCTGGGTGAGGGGGCTACCACCTGAAGGCCGGCTCTCCACCCCACTGCTCTGGACGCCAGGTGCTTTGGCGTGTGCATCCAGGGAGCACAAAGACGTGGCCTTGCTCTTGAGAGGTCTCTGAGACCATCCACCATCTCTGGCTGCAGCCTGGGTCCGTGGAGTCCAGTGGCCCAGGCAGGCCTGCGTCCCCATACGCGTTCCTGCCATGGCTGACCCCAGCTATGCCCTGGACAGCAGTTTCCTCCCTGGGGGTTGGCTGTCCCTGGGAGGTAGTGATGGGTCCCAGGCACTGGACAGTGTCTCCCAGATGTCACCATGAGGGTGAACGCTGTCTGGACGCCTGACCTGAGGCTGAACTGAGGGCTTGCTGGCCTCAGGAAACGGACAGGGACCTCATTGGCTCTACCCACCTGCTGCTCAGAAGCCAGCACCCCATCCTGGGTTCTGGAGCAGCAGTGCCGGGGAAGGGGCAAGGGGCTTTGGACGGGTTCTGAGCTGGAGGTAGGATGCAGCCTTGGCCATCCCAAGGCAGAGAGGCCCCCCCCAGGCCCTGCCCTGCCTGCCTGTCCAGTGATGAAAGGGCAGGAAGTGGAGATGAGCAACGCTTTGGGGATGTTGCTGCCACCCAAGTTCACTGCCCTCCAGGACCCTGTGGCCATCCCCTACCCATCTCATCTTCGCAAGCAGGCCCAGGGGCTCCACCCTTGCTACTCTCTTTGACCTTAAAAGGTATCTTCGAGCCTTGGGTGGCTGTCGGATGTGGGAGAGACTGACAACAATGGAGCCCCAGAGAACTTTGACTAGGGGAGGGGCAGTGCCTTGGATCAACAAGGAGTCGCTGAGTGGAATATTCTAGACTCTTAAAGTCAGGGGGCAGAGTGGCCAGTGCTCCCTGGTATGAGCTGGGGAGGTGGGGAGCACAGGGTGTGCAGCATGAGAAAGCCAGGTCAGGTGCAGGAGGGGTGGGGGCCCAGCTCAGGGGCACCTGCTGGGACCCTGGCTCCTCCAGGTGCCTGCTGACCGCTGCCCACCCCTATGCCCTGCTGTTGACCTGCTCCATTGAGGCCGTGCACACCTCAAGTTGTGCACACACAGCCGGTGCACGCACGGCTGTCTCCACTCGAGGTGATCTCTGAGTTTCTGGCCAAACCCATGCGGGGCCCACGCATCTTGGTGCTGGATCCAGGCCTGACAGGACACTGTCTGCCCTGTTCTTCGCCCACCCCGCCTCCCACTGGGCCTGGGCACCTACCCAGCCCGGCAGGGGACTCTCAGCTTTGCCTGCCCAGGGCTGGGGGCAGTCCCTGGGCCCCAGGGCTCTCAGAATGGTGGACACAGCACATGTGGCAGCATGTAGGATGCGCCAGGCCCCCACAGTGGCCCCTGGGATGGTCCTACAGAACCACCCCCACCAGCTTTCCCCACTCACTCTCAGGGCTGCAAATGTCCCCAGTGAGGCCACAACAAGCCACACAGAAGCTCTGGGGCCAAGGGCCTTCCAAGTACTGCTCTGGGTCCCTTTAGCAATGGCAGGAACATAAACACTGTCCACATGTGGGGTTCTCTATGGCAAGAAGCCAGGAGAAATCTGGCTGTTCCAGACCTAACCTCCCCCACCTGTGTCTGGCAGGTGGCTCTCCCCTCCCCACATGCCCAAGAGGTGAGGCTCCAGGAACCACAGTGGCCTGTTTTCACACGCAGGTTGGGGGGTAATTCCCTCAGGAAGACAGAGAAGTGTTCTCTGTGTTAATTGCACCCAAAGAGTCCAGTCCAACCGCTGGTTTCCGGAAGCTTGTGTGCAGGGTTCAGCCCAGCCATGAATGACTGATGGTCAGCAGAACAGCAATACCTTCTGACTCACCTGAAGGGTTGGGCAAGAGGTCCCCAGGCAGGGGACACTGGGCTTCTTGGAGCCTGGGGCAGAGCCGAAAAGCTTTCAAGCAGATGCCCCAGGAGGCCGGTCACAGTAGCAGAAAATTTTGGTGTCCACAGATGGGCCCTCCTTGGCCACCGTAGGACCAAACACCTGGGAGGGGGAAGGCCTGTGCCCCTAGGGCCTCGGCTTGATTCTCTCGTTTCCAGAAGCAGCTTTCCAGCCCCCATGCCCCATCTCTCATGCCCAGGCTCACCAGGGCTCACTTGAGCTTTCTTGGCTCCTGCCCCTTCCCTCTGGAGGGAACCCTGCTTATGCAAAACTCTGAAAGGTGGCCACTCCCTCACAGCCTGTTATATACCCACTGGATCCCTCTCTCCGGTGGGGCCCACTGGGCAGCGGGCCATAGGCCCTGCCACAGGAGGTCTGGCCAGGACGCTCAGGTGCCTGGCCCAAGCGTAGCCCTTAGAGGGGTGCTCCTGCCTGTCCCTCTGGGTGAGAGGACCCATGAGGACCACAGGACCAGGACTGCAGGCCACTGTGCCGAGCAGGGTCTGCAGTGGGCTCCAGGCATCCAGCTGGTGGTGAGTGGATCCTCCTAGGTCACCGCCGTGCACTGTGCTCCCTGGGCCCACAGCCGGGTGTCTACTGTACATCATCAAGGTGGCTTGTGTGAGGAGGGGAGTCTGACTCTTGAGACAGGCTGTTTCTGTCTTTGTACCCTGAGAGCCCAGGACACACTGGGAGAGTGCTCAGCCCAGGGGGTGGGGTTAAAAGAGAACAATGTCTGAGAGGTACTCAGGCTCCTGCCTGGGTCCTCCCCGGGCGCTGGAGACTGACCGGGCAGCGGCCCTTTCACCCCTCCCCATTCTTCTCAGTGGTTGAGGAAGGTGGGGGTCCCAGCTGGGCTCCTCCTGGGCACCAAGTGATTTTTTCAGATGGGGTGGGGTCGTGGCGGAGCCTCTCCCTCTGGGGGAGGGGGGCATCACGAGCAAGGTTTGACAGGCAGTGAGTAGGACAAGGTCAGGCTTCGAAGGGAGAGCATGTCCACCTTCAAAGGAAAAGAGGCCAACCTGGGCCAGTGAAGAGAGGGGCGAGGGATGGGCTAGATCAGCCCTGGCTGGAGAACAGAGACGGAGGCTGCTTGGAAGGGGTTGCTGTTCTGCAAGAACAGGCAGGGTTGGGTGACCTGTCTTCCAGTGGCCTGAGGGGACCTTGGCGAGGATCCATCTGAAAAGCAGTCCTGGCCGACTGGCAGTCTGGACATTCTGAAGGGCTCCCCTCCACCAGAGCACCTGGTCTAGCAGGACACAGACTCTATGCCCTGCCAACTCACTATTATGGACTCACAATAAACGGGGACGTGCACAGCCTCCGGTGTTGTTGGGAGTCGACCAGCAGCTATTCCTTGACACAGTGAGGGCAGATGAGATGCATCTGCACAGCAGAGGCAACCATGGCTGGATTTCCTGTCTGTCTCTCCCTGCATGTTTGTTTTTGTGATTAATAGGTGGTGGGATTTTTAGACACCTGTATTTCAGGTCCAATGATCCGCAGAATTCCAATGAAGTTGTACAAAATGATTTCCTGGCCAGAGAACAAAGTTCCCCCCTAATGAAGTAGACTCTGAACGTCTAAAAGTTGATGAGTAACGGCCCCTCCTCTACCTTGGAGAGGAATATGTATTAGTTAGAAATATACAGGCAAAGAAACAGGGGAAGCTGGTTAGCAATTACAAACTAAGCACGTGGAAACAATTACCAAGGAGTCGGAGTCCATATTACATAAAGAAACATTTTAGACAGAAAGATAGCTAAGTTAGACACCACAAAGGCCTTATAATAAATTTCCTATAACCTTTGCTCAGTCTAGCATATCCTTTTGCCCCATGCCAAATTCTAAGAACTTTAATAAACAATAAGACATATAAACTCTGTACATGCAGCTATTTCTAATTGCCTGATTAATGGCTCTCCTGGTCAAAACAACCTTTGTTTAACATAACTGAAACTATGGAAATTCTTGTACTTTTCCTGGTTACCTCTGTATTAGTTTTTTCTGCTTAACTAATCACGCCATGCACCTGTTTCTTTAATGTTATGTAACAATCTCTATAAAAATAAAGCTTAATCAGACTCTGAGAGTTTGGTCAGACCCACAGAGGCTGGCTGTTCTCTGGCACCCAATCAGGAGTCTGACTCTTCATTTGTCGCCTGCGCTGTCCATCCTTCAGGGACCCTGAGACCTGCCAAGGCTGGACCCCAGCACGGTGTGTGCTTTATAATGAGAAATGCTGCCAAGTCATGAGCAAAGTGTCCAAAGTAAGACTTCAGAAAAGAAACTGCAGAATAAATCCAAAGAAAATAGGAGTAAATAAAGAGTAGAAATTAATTTAAAAAAAGAGAAAGATACAATAGGATATCAAAGCCAAAAGCTGACTCTTGGAAAAGTCTAGGTAGATATTTGGAAAAGTCACAGGTAGAAACTTGGAAACACTTCTCAACACAGAAAGACATAGGACACGAGTAAACAGAAGTAGACACTTTAAAAAGGCTATAACCAGATAGATTCTATAGACATTAAAGGGTAAGAGAATGCTATAGGTAATGAAGTGGAAAATTTCCCAGTATACTATAATTTATGGATTCAAGAAGTCAGAGAAAGTCAGAGTGGCCCTAGAACCACCACAGAAACTGACACATTAACAAATCTTCCCACGGGGAACACCAGCCACACACCACAGACTGCACATGAGGCAGATCCTGGCCGGCAGGATCTGTGTATGTTGTGGCTGCTAGTGAACAAATACAGATGAACAACAGAAGTCCTGAGGAGAAAAAGGGACAGCATAGCCACTCTCTAAGTGAGAGAGGGCAAGAGGACCAGAGGCCCCTGCCTGGACAGGCTTTTATTGTTTCTCTGGGTACATTACATGGAGGGTAGTCCTCATTTACTATGCACAGGTTCGATGCAGGGGACTACCTTTTACAAATAACAAAGGAAAGAATGCTACTAATTTCTTCAAAGAGAAGGATGTTGCAGACCAAGGGGAAAAGTGGTTGAACCAGTCACACTCCATACTTGGGAGGGTTGGGTCAGATTTTACGAAGTTGCAGTAAGCACTTTCTGACTCAATTCAGGGTGAGGGAGTTTTGGCAACAGCAAGTCTCAGAGCAGCCTAGGTACAATGCAGTCCTGATTTCCCACCAGGAAACCTCTCCGTGGGCATGGTCCTGCATGCCACTCGCTCCCCACTGGTTTTCCACGTGGAGGCTGAGCTACTTGAAACGGTTCCCTACATGCACATATTGGAAGTGCATAATTAGATGAGTTTTTTAAAATAGACTTTTAAGTTTCACATTTGTAGAAAAATTGTGAAAATAATTTGCAGAGTTCCCATATACCCTGCCTCATTTCCTTATCATTAACATCTTTTATGAGTAACAATACACATACAGTTAATGAACCACTACTGATACATTATTTTAACTAAAGTCCATACTTTATTCAGATTTCCTTGGTTTGTACAATGTCCTTTTCCTGTGCCAGGATCCCATCCAGGACCTCGTGTCACACTTGGTCATCACCTTTCTGTAGGCTCTTCTTGGCTGAGACAGTTGCTCAGACTTAACTTGGTTTTGACGACAGTTTTGAGGAGCGCCGGTCACACATTTTGTAGAGAACGTCCACCTACTGGGACTTGTCGGGCGTTTTTCTCACGATTAGCCCGGGCTCACGTGCTTTAGGAGGAAAACCGCAGAGGTAAAGGGCTGTTTGCATCACATCTTATCAGGGGCCCGTGCTATTCACGGGGCCGATCACTGCTGATGTTGACCTTGACCCCCGGCTGAGGTGTGTTGTCAGGTGTCTCCACTGCAAGGCGACCCTTCTCCCACCTTTGCACACTGTCCTCTTGGGGAGGAAGCCGCTCTGCACAGCCCAAAGCAGAGTGGGAGCTTTGCTCCACCTCCCAGAGGGCAGGGTGTCCGCATAAACTATTAGGAATTCTTCTGCATGGGAGATTTCTCTTCTCTCCCAATTATTTATTAACTCAATCATTTATTTGCACCAGAATGGGCTCATGGATATTTATTTATACTTATGGGTTATAATCCTGGGTCCTTTTTTAAAAAAATAAAATTCATTCATTTTTTTTATAGAGGGGAAAGGGAAGGAAAGAGAGGGAGAAACATCAATGCATGGTTGCCTCTCATGCATTCCCCACCGGGAACTGGCCTCCAACCCAGGCACGCGCCTTGACTGGGAACCGAACCATGATCCCCTGGTTCGCAGGCCCGTGCCCAATCCACCAAGCCACACCAGCCAGGGCCTGGGTCCTTTTGACATACCCCTTTTGTTGGGATTTTGGAGCAATTTGGTTAAGTGTTGACATACATAAATGCCCACAAAACCACAACCACAGCCAAGACATAGAACATATTTATCACCCCTAAGATTCCTCATGCCCCTTCCCTCCTCTCCTCTCCACCATACACCCCAGGCAACCACCGATCTGCTTTCTGTCACCATATGTTTGCATGTTCTAGTTTTATATAAATAGAACCAAATAGTATGTAAGCTTTATTGTCTAGGTACAATAGACAATATTGTGTGCATGTGGCCTAGAAGGGTCAAGACTAAATCCTGATGAACCTGAGTCATAAGAGGCCGCAGAAGAGAGGATGGAAAACAGAGAAGTATGTTCAGAGTAGTCAGTTTAAAATGGCAACAGGTCCAAAATGGAGTCACCTGGGCTAAGCACACCCAGCTGAGATCTAATACCTAACCTAATTCCGATTGCAACCTTCCCCAGGAATGTAACCTGAACTGTGTCAGCCTGGCATTTCCCAGTCGGCAGTAATGAGGTAACACTCTTTTTCGTCCCTGAACCCTTCTGCCTGGAAAAGTCTCCCATTTTGTACTTGCTAGATGGGATGCTACTTAATTCATGAATCGCTGATCAAAACCAATTTGACCTTTAAATTTACTCAGCTTTGTTTTTTAAAAAATACAAGAAGAACAAGGAGAGATTGGGGAGGGGGTGTTGTCATTGAGCCATAGAAAGCCATATGTACCCAGCCCTGGGAGGAGACTGGCCACCAGACCCTGAGGGCAGGTGACGGAAGTCATAGCCTGGGATAGAGCTCTCGGGCTGGCTGGATCCGGGCTATGCCTGGACAGAGGCTCCTTCTCCCTTCTGTGAGAAAACCCTGGGCCTGAGCCACCTGTCCCCTGATGTCCCATAGCAAGAGGGAAGAGCACAGCCATCCCTGGATCTGCTCAGCCACAGCTGGTCCCTCTGCCCTGAGGTCCCCTGAGCATTAAGCAGGGCTTCGCTCAATGCTGGCCCCAGGCAGGAGGCCAGGCCAGAATGCTTATTAAGGAAGGGACAGTGCAGGGCAGTAAGCCCTGGCGGGCAAGCCAAGAGTCATGGTCCTGCCCCAACGTCCTGCCCAATCTGGGCCAGGGGGCAAAGGGAGAACTTTGCCAAGCATTGTGGTGGAGGGGCTAGTCACTGGGTTTCCTTCCTATTTGGCAAAGCTGGAGCGGCTGCCAGGTAGGCAAAAAAAAAAAAAAAAAAAAAAAAATAGGGGCCTCTAAGGCAAGGACCTCACTAACCTCCAGCTTCTCCCCATTAATTTTCTTACATACTCCTGACCCGCCTCAGTGAAGGAGACACCAATAATTATTTTCATTTTACAGAAAGGGAACCAGGCTGGAGAAGGTGAAAAGGACGCTGATGATTCTCTCCTCATACTCCACGCCTCGACCCTTAGCTTACCCCCAACCCCGCGGCGCAGTGCACGCCACAAGGCTGCTTTGTCAGCAAGTCACATTCGCCAGAGCTCCAGAACACACCACAAAAAGTGGCTGAGGATGCTGACTTAGCAGGGCAGGAGCGCCCACCCAGGCTGCCCCTTCTGCGGAAGGTCCTCCAGACCCGCCCCCTCAGGAGTCTCTGTCCCCAAAAGGGGCTGAGCAAAGCGGTTGGAGCAAATCCGAAAGCGCGAGTGTCCATGAAGCGACCTCAGTGTCCCACCTACAAACGAGACCGGCTGTCCACAGTTCTCAAGCGCTGCCGTTTCCAGGGACCCAACTCGCAGGTGCTAGTCCTGAACTCTGAATCGGCGCCTGCAGCTGCAACCCACCCAGGGGCGGGGAATGCGGATGGGAGGGCTCCGCGGTCCCTTCCAAACCCCTAACCTGTCCTCGATTCCCCTTCCCAGGAGAAAGCAAGGGTCCCTTCAGCAGTCTCCAAGTCACCTGCTTCCCCGAAGCTGTCGTCTTAGCCTTTTGCGTCCGCCTCTATCCGCATGCCCAGGTCCCCTTACGGGCCTGAAATTGCGGGTTCGGGCTCCGCAAGGAGAGCGCGATGAGGCAACGCGGCCACCGCCGCGCGGACAGAGGGCCCTGGGGGAAAGTTGCAGGCCGGGGCTGGAAGGCGAAACCAAAAGAATGGAACCACGCGGCGCAAGGCGGCTGGCAGGCCGGACCCCTGCCCCAAAGTCCAGCACGTTCAGGACCGAGAGCCGCTTCACATCCAGACTCCGCCCCCTCAGCCTGAGCCCCACCCCCGTCCTAAGCCCAGTACTAGCCGCAGCCGGGATCTCGCGCCTAGCTAGCGAGCAGAGCTCTGCGCCCGCCCCACCATCAGACTCCACCCCTCCGGCCCCTTCAGATCTCCGCCCCCTCCCTGCCGCCGGCCGGGGCCACCCTGAGGCTGCCCACGGAGAAGCCTAGGTAGTGGAGGCTCCGGCCCTCCGCCAGGGCTAGCCAGCCCGGCAGAAGGTCGGGGTAGACTGGAACCCCCATTCTGCTCCATCCTACCTCTGGGAACACGCGGGTGGAAGAGCCGGCGTCTGCGCGTGGGCGAAATCTTAGACACATGGTTTCTTTAGGTCCCCAACGCGTAGGGAAGATTTTATGGTTCAGGTCATAGGATAAATGGTGCAGCAGTGCGGGAGGGCACAAAAGCTCGAGTCTCTGGCGCCCACTGTCGGTCAGGTATGAGGTGTGGCTGCTTCCGCAGCCCATAAGGACCCGTAGCCGTGACTCCTTGACACTCCGAAGGGTTTAGTCTCTTTGGGTTGGGTAAAGAAAATAGAAGTTACTAAATATTACAGACGACACTGGGGCTCAGAGGCCACACCGGGAGCTACGTAGCCGAGTCGAGACTAGCGCCCGGGTATTCCCTGCCTTTGGCCCGGGTCACCACCAAGTTCTGTTACATCTACATCTGCAGGAGCTGGGGAATTTAGCGACTCCCGGACATCCCGGGTGTGTTTCTGCGCCTCTGCGGAATGTATGACAGCTAGATGCCTGGCAAACACGCCCCAACCCGGGAGGGCTATCCCTCCCCACTCGGCGTCACCGTCACCCCGGCAACCTGCTGAGCGCCCGAGGCCTGGCCCTTTAAGGGAAGCCTAAACCCGGCGATTTCGGTTTCGCGCTCCCGCCCGCGACGCCGGCCGTGTGAACATGGCCCAGGCTGCACGGGTTTTGTGGCCCGGCGGGCGCGCTGTGGTCTGGAGGTTGTGCCGGCTCCCGGCTCCCGGACTACCGGTGCAGAGCCGGGCTGGCGTTGCGGGGGCAGCGGGAGGCCGGAGCCTTGCCGCCATTGCCCCTAGTGGGAGCCGCCGGCTGCTGGGGGCGGCGGCTCTGGCCCTGGGGGGCGCCATGGGGCTGTACTACACTGCACGTTGTCACCTGAGCTCTCAGGATCTCCGCGCCGAGCGCCCGGCCGCGCAGGTAAGCTGGGGCTGGACCGAGCCACTCACGGGTAGGGACGCTGGGGTCAGCGTCGAACTTCCGGACTTCTGGGAAGCGGCGGGGTCATGACTCGCCCCTGCTGTCCTCTCATGACCTTGGGCGAGTGACTTGGTTTTGACTCCAAGCCCTCAGCGTCTTCATCTGTGAAATGGGCCGCTACTGATGCCTACTAACTAGAATTCTCTTTGTGTTCAGGTCGTTTTTCTGACTTACTTAAAGACTTTTTTAGGGGAAGATTTTGACGTCACGAAAGAGGGAAAGTTTCACTTTACCCCATTCCAAATCCTAAGGTTGTGTATTTATGTATTGGTATTGTTATTAGCATTTTTGTGAGACGGATGACCCTTAGGCTTCAGGTCCTGAGAAAGAGAGGGGCATGAAGTGTCCCCCCAGCCGGATGGTGGCCCAGCTGCCCTTGAAATGCATTTTACACAGCACCCGCACAGTCCTTACCCTGCTGGGCCCCACCACCCACCCTCAGGTGCTTTTTCCTGGACCCAGGGTAACGGCTGGGTGGGAGGGGAGCAGAGGTCTCTATATCTCCCTGCGCACCTCCGTGGTCCAGCCTCAGTTTCCTATCTGAACATCGAGGGCAGGGGACAGGAGCTCACCTGGGCCTTTCCTGCTGGACGTGCAGGATCCAGGATCCAGGCCCAAGGCCCTGGTACAGCCCTTCTCACTTGGAGGTTTGGGGTAGAACCCACTCTGGCTAACGCTGGGCTACGGGCTGGTGGGCTGTGGCCGCGCTCTGCCCCCTCATCTAGAGGTCCCTGGGGTTGGGGGAGTAGGGATGTGCGCTCTGAGTTGAGACATCGTTCTGCATCTGGGAGGGCACTCCTGTGGGTGTCTGCTGTCTCCTTGGGACAAGAAGAAGAGGACAAGTATCTTTCCAGTGTAGGAGAGAGACCAGAAGCTTCCTTCTGCACAGACTACACGTCCTGCCCGGAAAGCACCCTGGATTGGGGCTGAGCTGAGCTGTCCATTGCATGAGCCTGCCCCCCACCTCCCCGTATCCCCTTTCTCCCTGTCTCCGCCCCCCCCCCCCTGCATTCCTCCTGATGTTTTCAGGGGCATCTTAGAAGACTCCTCTAAGAAACAACTTTGCTTGGGGGCAGGCCTGGGGACCAGGCCTCAGAAGCCACGCCCCCCTCTGCTCCCCACCCAGCTCTCCCTGTCCGACCGCCTGCAGCTGACTCTGTACCAGTACAAAACGTGTCCCTTCTGCAGCAAGGTCCGCGCCTTCCTCGACTTCCACGCCCTGCCCTACCAGGTGGTGGAGGTGAACCCTGTGCGTAGGGCCGAGATCAAGTTCTCCTCCTACAGGAAGGTGCCCATCCTGCTGGCCCAGGAAGGAGAGAGCTTGGTGAGCCCCGGGAGCTCCCTACCATGTCCAGGGCTGTCTGGAATACCCTGAGTCAGGCCCTGCTTTGCAGCCCTGGAAGGCACTTGGGCTCTTGGCCACAGCTGAGAATGAGGGGAAAGTAGCTGGTGTACAGTGGCTGCTCAGTCAGTGTGGGCTGCCGTCCATCCCCTCCAACACCAAACACCAGTGGGTCAGGAATGCAGGCAGAGCACCACCGAGCTTAACAGTGTAGGTTCTGAAATCAGGGTGGTTTAGGTTCCAGGAGTGGCTCTGCCTCTCACTGGCTTTGTGACTTAGCCTCTCTGGGCTTGCGTCTTCGTCCACCAACAGAGGACCATACCCTCCAGGTTGTAGGGAATGCCGGCCCAGTGCTTGGCTGCTGGTGCGCAGCTTCTGGAGTCCACCCTGCCCCTCAGTGGCCCAGAGGCCAGGCAGGGCCCAGACCCTGGGTCCTCCCCACACCTACCTCCCCATTAGCCATGCTTGGATCTCCCTGAGGGCTTAGGATCGGCTTCCCTGAGAGTAGGGGCTGTATCCTGGGAAAATGGGAGAGCTCGGTGAGCATGAGTTTTAGGGGTGAGCCCCCAGCGGGGACCATCAGTGCCCCGGTGCCACCCAGCCAGTTTTCCAGGAACATCTGGGCACCTGTGTTGTTTAGAGCCTCCTGTCCCATCTAAACGACCTGTTCTCCTCCAGCAACAACTGAATGACTCCTCCGTCATCATCAGTGCCCTCAAGACCTACCTGGTGTCTGGGTAAGGGGACCCTCGGAGGCCCAGCAGGCCGCCTTTTATCCCTTCTGTCTCCAGGGAGGCCTCACCTGCCCCCTGCATGGGAGCAGGGCAGGGCTGCTGCTTACATTTTCAGAATGGGCTGTGGCTGTCCTACTCTGAGCCTACCCCTCCGCTCTCCTGCGCATCTCCTCTGTCAGGGAAGGGTTCCTGGTGTCTGCCCTAAATCCTTCTTGCTGTAGGACCTACTGTATCACCCACAAGAGAGTCGGTTCTGGCTCCACCTCGGGGCTGGGTCAGGTTGGGGTGGGTAGTCGGTCTCCTGGAGGAGAAGGGAGCTGGGGTGAGACTCTGGATGTGTCCCGAAGGCAGCCCCTGGAAGTCATCATCACCTACTATCCACCCATGAAGTCCTTGAATGACCAGGGCAAGGAGGTGACCGAATTCTGCAACAAGTACTGGCTAATGCTAGACGAGAAGGAGGCCCAGCAAATGTATGGTGGGAAGGAGGCCAGGACGTGAGTGGGGCTGCAACTGCCTGGGAGAGGGTTGGGGGGTCTTCCCCAGAGGGGGCCAGGCTGAGTGAGATGCCGTGGGGCGGGGAAGCAGTGTGGGAGACCATGAGGGCTGGGGTTGAGTCTCCCTAAGGACCTGCTGCTTAGACCTCTGCTTCCCATCCATACCCTGGGGGGTCTAGATAGTGGGTCTGCTCTGCTCCCCACCTCCAAGGCCCACCTGGCCCGCCCTGTCCCCTGCTTGCCCTCAGGGAGGAGATGAAGTGGCGGCAGTGGGCGGACGACTGGCTGGTGCACCTGATCTCCCCCAACGTGTACCGCACACCTGCCGAGGCCCTGGCCTCCTTTGACTACATTGTCCGGGAGGGCAAGTTCGGGGCCGTGGAGGGCGCTGTGGCCAAGTACTTGGGTGCAGCTGCCATGTACCTCATCAGCAAGCGGCTCAAGAGCAGGTGATGGTGTGCGTGCGTGTGCGCATGTGTGCTGGCCTTCCTGCTGACCTCACCTGGGCCTGGGTAGGAGCCCCTGACGGACTTTCCCATCCCTGCCCAGACATCACCTCCAGGATGACGTGCGCAAGGATCTGTACGAGGCCGCCAACAAGTGGGTAGCAGCTGTGGGCAAAGACCGGCCTTTCATGGGGGGCCAGAAGCCAAACCTGGCCGATCTGGTGAGTGGGGTGGTAGCAGGGGCATGCCCAGGTTGAGGGACCTGGCTCTGGGTTGGGGAAGCCCAGGCAAGGAGAGCCCAGGTGTAGACAATACCTACATTTCCCAGCTCCCCTGCCTCAGAGGCAGCTGGTTCCATCTCTGGTCAGGGGCTTAAGGGAAACCAACTGCAAGGAACTGTCATGGTTCCCATAACTGGCAAGCCAATGGATGGGTTGGCTTCAGGCCTAGCTGGATCGAGGGGCCCAGGTGGTCTTAACAGGTCTCAGGATGCCCTGTTGCATCTCAGTTCTTTGGCCCAAGGCCAGCCTTTGTCCAGTGCCCCACCCTCCCCCCCAGCAAAAGTCCTGCTTCCCTGTCCATGGGGAAGCGTTCCTGCAGCCAGGCTGGTTGGCAGGCCCAGGTCTCTGGGTGGTGGGGGAGGTCTCAGGGCATGGGAACAAGGGAAGGCCTTTTCCCAAACAAAACTCTGGGCAGTGGGGAGGGGGAGGTTGCCCCAAAAGGGCATGTGGGTGTGGGGCAGGTAAAACCTGGGTGTTCCTCATGCTTCATTCAGAGCCCTGCATCTAAAGTTAGTCCTCTGGGACAGGGGAGGGGACGGGCCCCAGGGCACACAGCTGGCACATGATGGGGCAGGTCCGGATGCCCCTCTGTCCCCCCACCCTCCAGGCAGTGTATGGTGTGCTGCGTGTGACAGAGGGCCTGGAGGCCTTCGACGACCTGATGCGTCACACCCGCATCCAGCCCTGGTACCTGCGGGTGGAGAAGGCCATTGCGGAGGCCTCCCAGTGACCGGAGCAGCCCACCGGAAGGAACCGGAAGACTGCAGAAGACTCTGGCTGTCTGGGACCGGGTCCACGGGACCAGCACTCGGCAATGCTGTGCAGGGGTGACAGAATCATTCTACCTCTTGTCCACCCCCGTCCCCGCAGCATTCTCTGTTTCTAACACTGGACATCTTCTGGGGAACGGCCCCCTGAGGGACACAGAGAGGCTACCTCCCCCCACCTCCCTGCTGGGGCTCTCAGTGGCTGCCATGTCTAACCCTGTGGGTGGGAATTGGGGTGGAACCCCACTCTGGACAAGGCAAGCAGTGATGCCCTGAGTTCGGGGAGAACCCCATCCTTGGCTCCTCCTTGTGGTTCCTGTTCTTCCCAACCACCCCCGGACTCTGCCTTGTTTGAAATAAAGAAAAAAATCGCTGCCCCCTCATGGTGGTGCTGCAGTGAGGTTTGTGGGTGCTGTGCAGGGTGGGGGCATTGGCCGAGCTGTGTTCCTATGACCACCAGAGGTCGCTAGAGGATGCGAAGCTCTGTAGGAGATGAAAACATGGTCTGGTGCTGCCACCTTTTGGCCAACTGAAGGATTGTGTCTTCTCTGGAGAGTCATTACAGAGACTATGTGCCCATCTGTAAAATGGGTTTAGCATGCCTGGGTATGACAGAAGGCAGGTAGGAAAAGCCACACCTCCCAGGGGAAAAGGCCTCAAGCTGGGAATCCCTGCCCTATCTTGGTCATGCTTAGGTTCCCTGTGGCCTTGATGGTAGCAGAAGGCCTGAGGCAGGAGCACTGCCACCGCTCACAGTGACCTTGGACAAGCCCTTGGAGGCCAGTTAACTTCATGGGGTTGGTGCCATCAGAGTTGACAATGCACCAGCAGGCAACATGGGAGGGGAATGTTTACGCAGCCAGTAGGTCTGCTGTCTGTTCTCAGAACACACTCGCTGCTCCATTCCCGCCCAAGGTTCCCAGAGCGCACAGTCCAGAGCCCCAGGAAGTGATAAGGACAATAGTGGTGAGCACAGCTGGTCCCTCCTCTCTGGGAATCGGGGCGAGCCACAGCCTAGGGTTCAACAAGTTGGGTTCACTTTTGTTTGTTAAATTTCACCTTAATCTTTCAAATAACATTTATTGTATATAAATAGAACCAGCAGATAAGCAAAAAGATGATACCAGCTAGTATCCTCCCACCACCCAGAGACACCCACTTAAATTTTTGGGGAGTACAGCCTTCTACTTTATCTTTTACATAGTTTATATGTCATGCACATGTTTGTATTTTATATGTAATAAATATATATTTATATATATGTATCTAACACTTAAATGGGGCCTATTCGGTGGCAAGTCTTACACATCTCTATGAAGTAGGTACAAACATTTTCCAGATGAGGAGACTGAGGCACCAGAAAGGTTCAGTGAATTCCCTGGTGTCACACAACTAGTAAGTGGCAGAGGCAGCATGCAAGCCGGACCTCCTGGCTCGAGTCTGTCACTACAGGGTCGCCTGGCTCCTCTCTAGATGAGGTTTTCTTTATCTTAAATAAAACGTTGGGTGACACAGGAGCCCCTCAGTCCCAGGTGAGACACTGCCCTCCCTCTCCTTACTGACGACTGCGTAGCACCCCGCGGCACACAGGGTTCCCTCGGATGGCTGATCCCTAGCGCATTGAACCAGTCGGTGGGAAGGACTTTGTCGGGCAGAAGTGGCTAATGGGGAACAGAAGGTGTAAGGTGCTGAATAAAGGCCCCTGAATATATCCAGGTCCTAACCCCTGGAATGTGTGGAAATTACCTGATGTGGTAAAGGGACTTTGTAGATGGGATTAGATTTATGGTTTTGAGATGGAGAGTTTTCTGAACAACCCAGGTGGGCTCTAACTGTAACCACAAGCATCTTTTGAAGAGGGAGACTTGACCCCAGAAGCAAGAGGCTAGAGTCATGAGGAAGCGGTCACAAGCCAAGGCTTACAGGTGGAACCAGCCCCGATGACGTTCAATTTCTGCCTGGTGAAATTAATTTTGGACTTCTGGCCTCTAGAACTGTGAGAGAATATATTTGTGCTGTTTTAAGACACCCTTTTTAACAGCAGACGTAGGATACTAATGCAAATGGTATCCGCCAGTGCTGCCAGGGAAGAGTCTGCTACAGCTTTGTCTCCTTCTGTAAAATAAGGGGGTGGGGCTTAGGCTCCGGCCGGTGTGGGCGGGGCCAATGATCTTGCTCCTGCCCGTGTGGGAGCTGCGGTGGGGAGATAAACGTTTCTCTTGGGCCACCGGGGCTGGGCCGGTGAGGACAGCAAGTGGCCAAAAGAGAACACTCTTTCGTGGCCCAGCCCGGGAAGCCAAGAGCAGGAGGCCTGGGTTTATCTAGCTCCCGCGGGGGACTGGGACAAGCCCCTGGTTCTGCCTGGCCTCGGCTCTCTCATTCTTGGTTCCTCCATGCCTTACCCTCCACCCTCTCCTCCTGCCGGCCCTTCCCATTCTGCTCTGGCCGGCCTCTCCAGCCACTGGGACAGGACCGCGCTGGTCTGCTCCAGCTTCCCCGCCCGCCCTGGAGACCAGAGACCAAGGTCCATACCCGGGCGGCTGGGCCCAGCTCACGCTGCTCTGGTCTCACCTTTCCCCTACATTCCCACCCCATCAAACCAGCGAGATCAGGGCGGACCAGCCAGCAGCTGAGGCCGGGAACACGACCTCACAGTTGGCCAAGCTGATTTGAATCTCAGTTTAACATTCACCCTGTGTGAACCGGATGAGTTCCTCCCCGTTGAGCTGTGAGAAGGAACTGTGCCCATCTTACTCGTGAGGCAACTGAGGCTCAGTGAGGCATGAGATTTGCCTGATATCCCACTGCCAAGGTGCCAGGACTGATTAAGTACAGGTCTGTCCCATGGTTCTCTGTGGCCTCCTGGCCTGGGAGAGAGGCCAGGGACTAGGTGGCCCTCGGTGAAGGTCCCCAGAAGCAGATCATGGCACTCTTTCAGCTCTGGTGGAGCCCACTGTCTTCACCCCCAGGCATGCAGCACACTGGAGGTCCACCAGCCTGCATTTGAGGGCCTTGCTCATGGCAAGGCCCTGGGCACGTCCCTCCCCTTCTGGAGCCTTAGTTTCCCCATCTGCAGAATGGGCCATAGTGGCAGAATTACCTCCTAGAACCGCTGAGGGGCGAGGTCCTGCATGGGCAGGGCCCAGCTGGTGCTCGGTAAACATTGCTCCCAGGACTTAGAGCTGACCTCTCTTCTCTAGCTGCAGGAACGAGGTTGAAGACCCCTCCCCCCCACCCCCACACGCAGCACAAGTGGCTTCCCCACCCCCACCCTGCTCTCGGAGGATGGATTTCCCCTCAGATGCCAGAGATCCCAGAGCCGCATGAACCTCCTCACTGGGAGTCTGGAATGGAAAGCATTTCGGTGGAAATTACTGTGCGTGTCTGGAATCCTGGAAGGGGAGGGGACCCGGGAGATGAAACTGCTTATTAAGGACCAGCCGTTTCCAGGGCCGTCTGGACTCTTTCCAACAGCCCTTCCAGGCAAATCTGGAGGCAGACTCTGAAACTCGGCTCATTGGGTTCAGATCTGGGGTCGGCAGGGCTGCGTTCCTTCGGGAAGCTCCGTGGTTGAATCTGTTCCTGGCCTTTTCCAGCTCCAAGAGGCGCCTGCATTCCTGAACTTGTGACCCCTTCTGTTACCCAACAGAGGTCCAAGGGGGAGGCAATATTTGGCCCACCTAGGGATGACAAAAACTGCTACAGAACAACAGGAGCCCCTCCCAAGGATGGAATACTAATATCTACTGGGCTCTTCTGTCCGCTGCCAATTGAAAAGACATCTCTCAATGCCAGAGATTTGTGAAAAGGAAATGAAATGTTTATTTAATGTTATTCAGGCCTAACGCCTCTATTAAAATATCAAAGTCTTTTAGGGTATATACCTACACACACACACACACACACACACACACAGACAGCTCTCCCTTCTCCCACTGTCCCAACTCTGGGTACTGTAAATCAGGAAAAGAGCACACGTCTGTTTTTCAGGCCGCTGGCACCATCAGCTGTGTCACCGTGCAGACAGGATCTCTCTCTAGTTAATCCAAAGTCATGTGGCACCCTCTCACGGTCCACTGGCAAGAGTTCTTTGTTCCCAGTTCCAGTCAAAGTCTCTCCTGCTTCTTAGGCCACACGGCCAAAGGAGGCACCCCAAAGCCACGTGGTTTTCCCTTTCACCTGGGAAAGAGGGGGTCCTCACTCTGCCCAAAACCGCATGGCTCTCTCTTCACCTGGCCAAGAGGGGACCCTTACTTTACTGAAACTGCGTGGCTCCCCTCTGCCAATGGCTGCTGTCTCTGGGTTTTATTTATTTATTTTATTTTATTTTTTTTGCTGTCTCTAGGTTTTATTATTTTTTTTACTTCATCTTTAAAAATTTTTTAATTTATTTATTTTTATTGATTATGCCATTACAGTTGTTCTATTCCCCCCTTCATGCCCTTCCACCCTACTCCCCCCATCCCCACCATTACCCCCCCTTTAGTTTATGACCATGTGTCTCAAGTTCTTTAGATTCTATATTTCCCATACTATACTTGCCCCCCTTCAATTTTCTATCTATTGTCTATGCTACTTATTTTCTGTACCTTCTCTCCCCTTCTCCTCCTCCCACTCCCCTGTTGCTAACCCTCCATGAGATCTTCATTTCTATGTTTCCACTCCTGATCTAGCTGTCCTTTTAGTTTGCTTTTGTTTTAGGTGTGGTTGTTAATAACTGCGAGTTTGCTGTCCTTTCACTGTTCATGTTTTTTTAACTTCTTTTTCTTAGATAAGTCCCTTTAACATTTCATATAATAAGGGCTTGGTGATGATGAACTCCTTGAATTTGACCTTATCTGAGAAGCACTTTATCTGTCCTTCCATTCTAAATGAAAGTTTTGCTGGATAGAGCAATCTTGGTTGTAGGTCTTTGTATTTCATGACTTGGAATACCTCTTTCCAGCCCCTTCTTGCCTGTAAGGTCTCTTTTGAGAAATCAGCTGACAGTCTGATAGGAGTTCCTTTGTAGGTGACTGTCCCCTTATCTCTTGCTGCTTCTAGAATTCTTTCCTTCATTTGAATCTTGGCTAATGTAATGATGATGTGCCTTGGTGTGTTCCTTCTTGGGTCCAACTTCTTTGGGACTCTCTGAGCTTCCTGGATTTCCTGGAAGTCTATTGCCTTTGCTGGATTGGGGAAATTCTCCTTTATTATTTGTTCAAATAAGTTTTGCCCTGGTGGCTGTTCCTTTCCCCCTTCTAGTACCCCTATAATTCGAATGTTGGAGTGTTTAAAGATGTCCTGGAGGTTCCTAAGTCTCTCCTCATTTTTTTGAATTCTTGCTTCTTCACTCTTTTCTGCTTGGCCATTATTTGCTTTCTTCTGGTCCACTCCATTGATTTGAGTCCCAGTTTTCTTTTCATCGCTATTGGTTTCCTGTGCAATTCCATTCATTTCAATTAGTTTCGCCTTCATATGTTTGTCTAATTTGTGGCTATAATCAACCAGTTCTGTGAGCATCCGGATCACCAGTGTTTTAAACTGTGCATCTGAGAGTTTTGCTATTTCTTCATCGCTTAGATTTATAGGCTCTGGGGCTTTGAGATCTTCTTGAGCCATTTTTGGTCTGTTCGCGCCTGTTAAGTATGAGGAGCGGAGCCTTGGACTCCCAGGTTGCTGGGTTGTGACTCTGTATGTGGGGGCGTGGTCAGAGTGGGGAAATGGCGATTCCCCTCAGCTGTTTTGGGCCGCTGGGTGAGGAGCAGCGCCTTAGGTGGTTCACCTGGGCAGGGCCACTCAGGTCGCTTGGTTATGACGCTGTATGTGGAGGCGGGGTTAGAGCGGGGAAATGGCGGCGCCCTCTGCTGCCGCTCGCAGTGGGGCCTGCTTAGTCCCATAGTCTCTCCTCCCACTCCCTCGCTTGTCTATCCACACACGAATGCGCAACCACAGTCAACCCGCAGCTCTGCTCCCTCGCCGTTTCCCCGCGGTCGCTGAGTTGCCCACCAGGTCCAACCCTGCGCCTGGATTCCACGTGCCTGAGTCCGCCTGACCGAGTTTTCCTGTGCTACCCTGCTCCGACAGCTGCTGGTTTCGCTCCTCTCTTACCGGTCAGGCTGAAGAATTTGTTGTTATCAGACTTCCGAAAAGTTCAATTTTCTGTGTTCTGGCTGTGTTTTCTGTTGCTAATATTTAGTTGTCTCTAAACTTGGTTGTGAGAGAAAGCACAGCGTCTCCACCTATGCCTTCATCTTGGCAGAAGTTGCTATCCCTAGGTTTTAAATCCCTGTACCAATCTTCCTCTGTACCCCTATTTCCAACTCCTCCCACGATTAGTTACACCTGCCAGTATTTCTGTATTATTACAAGTTTACTGGGCTGCCATCATAAGTTATGGCCCCATGTCCTAGAGCCAATCTTCTCCAAGCTCCCACGCAGGCGCTGTAACTTGGGGGACCTGCCCCCAGTTACATCTTGGGGGAAGTGACTTCATACCCCTGGCTCAAAGCCAGGCCACAGCCATTTAACATATCCAAGTGACCCTCCAAAGGCTATAGATATGTTAAATGACCAGGCCATGGATTAGCTGCAAGGCTGTGGCTGTACAAAACAGCCCTGCATGTTCCTGCTCCATGTGTCCCTTCCCCCAACTCACACCTGTGGGGGAAGGGGTGAGGACATCTTATATGTCTCTCCAATATTCCTACACACTTTGAGTTCTGGACACCATTCCAATTCTTTTTTTTTGAGGGGGGGCCCCCCTTGGCTGCACCCTGTATCACTTCCTGTCTTCAAAGCCAATGACCTTGGGCAGATTTCCTGCACCACCTCTCTGGGCTCCCTCCCTGCCTCCCTCACCCACACGGAGAAAGATCTGGGGATTTTCTGGGGCCATGCAGGTCATCCAGGCTCAGCTCCCTATTTTAAGGTCAGCTGATTAGCAACCCTAATTCCATCTGCAGCCTTAACTCCCTTGGCCATGTCACCTAATCCACGGGTTCTAGGACTAGGACACAGATACCCTCGGGAGGGGGCGTATTTTGCCTACTACACTGTGAAACATTTGGGTGGGTTTCATTCAACTGGGAGTATTCAGGTGGGTTTCATTCAACTGGAAGTATTCATTAGGCACCGAGTGGATGCCCGGCACCTGCCGGGAACGGCAGTGAAGAGAGCCAACAAATACCCAGACCTCAAGGAGGAAGGAGACGACAAACCAAGGAACGAGAGCGAGCAGTAGACTTGATGAAGTGTGCTACTGAGAAAACGAAGGGCTGGGTTGCGTGGGGGCCTGGCAAAGCCTCAGTAAGGAGGAGACAGGTGAGGAGAGATGGGAGGGATGAAGGGGTGGGGAAGAGGGAGGTAGGAAGGCAGGCTGGGGGGTCTCTGAGTGTCAGCCTCGTCGCGGCCTCTCCCAGGGCTAACTCTGCTGGAAACGCCCCTCTCCTGGGTGGATGGGATTGAGCATCTGGGAGGAACCCAGGCCACCACCCCAAGGCTCCCCCGCTTGGACAGGATGGGATAGGTTGTGTGTGTGGGGCACCAGTTTGCCAAGACCCAGTGGTTGGGAAATGATCTGTGCCTGTGACCTTGACCACAACAGAGGCAAATCGCATATAAGCTTCCCATGGCTGACAACCCACCACAGACTCAGAGGGCCTAAACCAACAGGCAGTCCTTCTGTCCTGGTTCCAGAGGCCGGAAGTCTGAAAGCTAGGGGTCAGCGGTTTGGTCCCTCCCGAAGGGTCTGTTCTCACCTCTTCTCTCCGTTCAGGGGGCTGCCGACGTGGAATCCTCGGCAGTTCTGGCAGATCCAGCACTGCAGCCTCGGGCTGTCCTCACTTGGCATCCACATCTGTGCTGCTGGGCAGCCTTCCAGGGTGCCCTCTTCTGACACCAGCCATCGGATTTACCCTAACCTGGTATGACCTCATCCTAACTGGACTACATCTGCAAAGTCCTACTTCCAAATAGAGCAACATTCTGAGGTTCCCAGTGGACGTAATTCTTGGAGGAGCACACTGTTCAACCCAGTACTGCCAGTTTCACCCACAGGCACACTTCTGCGCCTCCCTACTGCCTCTGAATGCCAGAGCTGTGGGCAGGTCCCCCGAGCTGCGTCACACTGTCCCTGACCCGTGGCACCCAGAGCTACCAGGGGACTGGAGTGTGGACTGTTATTTACGAACATTTTATTCTTTGGGTATTGGGCACTGTTAGGGCTGCAAACACAGCCCCGGGTGACAGGCAGAAAGTAAATAAAGCCAGGTGGGGCTCCAACATCCCTTAGCAAGAGGGGCAGGAGCAACTGGGAGGCTGGGGAGGGCAGCTGCAGCCGCTCCAAGCAGGAGGGAGTGACTAGCTCTGCCTGAGAGGCTGAACCAGAGGGGAGCTGAGAGGCACCACCTGACTCAGCAATTGGAGGGCATGGCAGCCTGGGGAGTGCACCCCAAACACAACGGACACACATTCAACAGATGGAGCGTCTCCCAGAAACACAGAGGGGGTGGCTTTCTTGTTTTCTGTGATGAGAAAACTGGGTTCATTTTCCATGTGAACACCCACACCAACTAAGTCCAGATCAGACAAATCACGGCTCTGCCATCAGCTTTGAAACAACTTTATTAGAAGGCTATTTTCAATGACAACTTCCAATTCTGTCTTAATTTGCTTTTTCACCAATTCCAGTTATAAGTCTATTTATTTATATAGAACAGTGAATTTTGCATTGATCTTTGCATCCCATTTAAATCGTTCGCAGCGGGCCATTCTGGTGGGATGGAAAGTGCGAGGTGAGGCTGCAAACTGGCCGCATTACTGAGCAGGGCAGCAGGTGGGGGGAAGCCGGGAGGGAGGAGCCCCCTTGGGCCAGGGGCGGGGCCGGGGTAGGCAGCTGGCCACCCTCTCCTCTGACCCCCATCTCAAACTCACAGTGATAGGCACCTTGCTGCCCTGTCATTCAGAAACGGGGAAATACAGAAATCCTTCTGGTCGGAAAAAGGGTTTGGACTTCTGTCTTCCATGGAACTGAGACCTCACCCACGCCTCCTGCCCCCAATCCAACCCTCAGACCCTAAGGCTTCCTGGCTGCACGACCCCACCCCCCAGCCTGCCCTTCTCTCGTGTGGGCAGTGGCTGAAGGTCGCTCCCACAGCCTCCCTTTCTCTCTTTGCCCTACCTCTCAGGTGTTGGGTGGTACCAGTTATGGTGCCACAATCAACCATGAACATAAATATGAGTAAAAAATGAACTTGAAAATGACAGGCTATTAAACAAATCTATAAAAATAGTTAGGACATAACTCTGTTCAAATAAATACGAAATAAATAGGCTCCACGCAGCGCGGTAGGTGCATCAGTGGAATGTGAGGCTGGTCCCACTTTGCCCCATTTGGGATCAGACATGAATCCCCAGGGGCATCGGAAACAGACTTTAATGCAGTCGGCCGAGCTGTCTACTTGCTGTCTTCCCTCTGAAGCACAGAACTTGCACACCTGTCCCGCTGGTCTTTCTGAACAGAGCCTCTTTCTCAACAATGCACAGTTAAGGCCGTCCATCCCTTTTCCTTCTCTCACTGGGGCCATGTGGACGCAGGGCAGAAACTGGCCTTCCGGCCACACCACCATGGTGCCCCACAGCCTTCATGCCACCACAGGGACAGAGCTGGTTCTGAGCTAATGCCAGTCCTGCAAGAGTCCGGGGCCAGCTCCGAGCACCAGGGGACCCCAAGCAGCACGGGGCAGAAGCCTCCGGGTTTCAGGACCAGCACGCACCTCTCTGGAAGCCATGCGCCTGGGCACCAGGCAGCCAATGGTGGGGCTGGGTTTTGCCCCTGCATGCACACACGCATCGGTGCCCAGGTGAGGGTGAGCACACAGCCAGACTCCTCCCTGTTCCCTGTGCAACCTAGCCACAGGCGATGCTGTCAGGGCGGTGACGTCAGGTGGAAGCATCTGTCCCCTTTCGTGGACTGAGGGGAGAGGAGTGAGGCGGGTCACAGGAGTGGGCTGGTAGCCCTCCTTCTCCCATTTGAAAACAGCAGTGAGGAAGAAGCGAAGTGGGCATGGTGAAGATGCCCGGCAGGCCAGAGGGCGAGAGCCCTCGGCCGAGGGTCTGGGCGGGAGGAAACGGTGGAAGAACTAAGCTGGCCTCCAAGCCCTGCTGTTTGGCAGGCGCTGTAGGAAACATCCTGTCCCTACTGTGCATAAGCCTGTGTCCTGCTGACCCCTGGGCCTGAGGAGTACCCTCAGGTGTCCCCTGGGGCGGATGCAAGGGTCGGCCACAGTCAGCAGGACCAACCCAGGGGGCCTGCCGGCCCCCCCACCCCGCACGGGCACTTCCCAGTGTTCTCACAGCTCGGCTTCAGTCAGCTTAGTGTCGGCGCATTCACAGAATGAGATGGCTCCACCTCCTGGGCCACAGGCCCAGGATCGCGAGTCTGTCGGGCAGGGCCGGCCTCCCTCCTGTCACCGAGACTGCACGCCCAGCGTGACCTTCAGGTTCTCGTACACCACGTAGCTGATGCTCACAGCTGGGATCACCTTCATGAAATTGGGCGCCAGCCCCCGGTACAGGCCGAAGGCTCCCTCGGTCCGCAGGATGTGTCTGAAGAGGCTGCTCATGGTCACCTCCGGAGCGCCCTCAATGGAGGCTGCGAGGAGAGAGGTCGCCCGTCAGGGGCCTTACAGCAGCTCCTCCCCGGATCCCAACCTGCCCGGGGAGGCGGGCCCCTGGGACCGGCTTAGGACCGGCCTTACCTTGGGCCTGCATCCGGGTCCTGACCAGAGCCAGTGGGTAGCTGGCCAGCTGGCCACAGGTGCTGGACATGGTGCCACAGGCCAGGAGCACAAACACTCCAGGGTCTGCGCTGTTCACTGCATAACGCTGCAGCCAGGCATTCTTGAGTGTCTGTGAGGGGAAAGGGCACAGGGGTGAGCCAAAGTGCCTGTGAGCCCCGGGGTGGGGGTGGGGGGCAGGAAGAGGTTGGGGGGTTGGCGGAGACCCAGTCATTGGATCCGCATCACATGGCACCGGCATCCTGAAGCCACTGTAACCCGATTCTCTTGGCCTGGGCTGGCTGAGCTCCTGGCCCGCCTGCCCTTTTTTTCTGCTGTCACTAGGGATTCGTAGGCAGGACAGGAAATGGAGATGAGGCAGGGAGAGCACCCCTCCCCCCCAGGGCTCTGGAGATCTGCCTGCCAAGCCTCTAGGGGGCAAAACCTGGGGGCAGCCAGGGGCAGGAGACCCTTGTCATAAACGGATGAATCTGAAGGAGACATTCCCTGGTGCTGGTTCCTTGTCCCAGCCATCGCCAGTGGTCTATAGGCGAGTACGTGGTGAGGAGGGGGTTTCTGAATCTCTTCTGGCAGTTCAGGGGCCTGAGCCTTGCAGGGTCTCACCTCGTAGACAGCGAGGTCGATCCCAGCGTAGGGGATGATCCCCAGCATGTTGGGGACATAGCCTTTGTAGAAGGCGGCCACCCCTTCTCTGGCCAGGATCTTCCGGGCACAGTCCAGCATGCCTGAGTACTGGCCTGTCTTGCGTAGGGCCATCCGGGTCTTCAGAACCTGCAGAACCCAACCGAAGCGACAGAAGCATGAGCACAGCCCACCTCTCTCCCTCAAGTCCACGCACACTGCCCAGGACCAAAGGGGCCCCTCACCTCCATCGGGTAGATGCTGCTCTGCGCGATGGCCCCCGCCAAGGACCCTGCCACAAGTCTCTCGTGAATCCTCAGAGTCTCCTGGTCACTCCCGACAAGACGCTTGATCTACAACAGGAAGCCAACAGACTGATGCACCCTGGAGACCTGCACCCCCGCCCCGCCCCTCCTCACAGAGCCGGCAGGGTTAGCTGAGACACGGTGTCCCTGGCCCATCTGATGTTTTCCAGGAGTGGAAGGAACTGGCCCACAGTGCAAACGTCAGCAGAGCTGGGGTCAGACCCAGGCCTCCCGAGTGCCCCCCAGCCTGCTGCCCTTTGGGCATGATGACCGACTCCAGGTTCTGGGGCATCCTCGGGGCAGAGACCTGGGCCCAGGGGACGCTCAGCAGGTAGCAGCCAACTGACAACTCCCTGGGGAACCGGCTCCTCACCTGCTCATAGGCCATGAATTTGATGGCTGACTCAGGGGCAATTTTGAGGACATTGATGCCGTTGCCACGCCAGAGTGACTTGGTCCCACCCTCTCGGATCATCTGGGTGAAGCCTCCCACGATGCACATGCTGTTGCTGCGGGAGGCGTGGACCTGGGGAGGCGAGGACGAGGGTCAGAAAGGACTCGGGGCCACGGGGCTGCCGCCACCCGACCAGAGCCTTTTCTCACTGTCAGCCCCCAAGGATGACAGACAGGCTCTTCCCTGAGACAAATACGGCCACTGCAGGGCCGGCTAGGTCTCACCAGGCGCCTACTGTGTGCCAACACCATGCTAAACGCCTCCGCAATGAATACTTTTTTAAATGAGAAGAATGGAGCTCTTTATCATGGAAAAGTTTCAAACACGCATGACAGCACAGAGAATTATACAATAAGCGCCCATGGACCCGTGATCAGCTTCCACCGTCATGACGCCAGAGCCAAGCCATGTCCCCATGCCGCCCCACCCCCAGTGGGTTACTTTAAAGCATATGGCAGGACAGCCCTGGCTGGTGTGGCTCAGTGGACTGAGTGCAGGCCTGTGAACTAAAAGGCCACAGGTTCAATTCCCACTCAGGACACAGGCCTGGGTTACAGACCAGGTCCCCAGTTGGGGGCGCGCAAGAGGCAACTGATCCATCTATCTCCCTCCCTTCCCCTCTCTCTAAAAATAAATAAAAAATCTTTTTAAAAAGTAAACGAATAGAGTATACAGCAGGACTGTCATTTCATACAAGCCAAATACTTTCAATGTCCACAGCATCCCTAGGAATGTGGTAAAGAAAACAAAGAGAAGAGGGAGGTGATGTGCTACCAGCCCCTTTGGCTCAGAGGAATGAATTCCTGGGGGTCAAGTGACTTGTCCAAGGTCACACAACAGTGACTGCAGGCTGGGGAGGGTCAGATTCCGGGCAGAGAGCTCTTCTCCTTGAACTGCTCCACTTCCAAGGGGAGGTCACAATACCCTCAACAGGCTTCAGAACAAGGCAGGCGCAGGAGGGCAAAGGGGAAGGGGAGGATGACATCATTTCTGAGCAGGAAAGTGCCAGAACAAACAAGGGGACAAAGGGCATCTGGCCACTGTTCAGGAGGTGCTGAAGTCCAATGGCGCATACTTGCTCGGGGTGATTTTGCAACCCTGCCCCTGACGTTGGTCTAGCTTATCTCCGTCCTGTGGACATGGAGTCAGACATGTAGCCATGACAATGGTGCCCAGGCCAGGCGAGCATGTGCTCACAACGTTCCCCGTGTGTGAGGGAAGTGCGTATGGAAGGGTTCCTGCCACACCCTGTTCTCACCGCTTCACCTGTGCACTGTGTGGCCCTGTGATGTGACCCCTGACTTAAAGGCTCAGATAAAACTACGTCAGCTATGTGCAAAAGGTGACCCAGGCCTGGACCTCCCGTTGCCCTTGTCTGGCAGGAATTCCCATCCCATTTATTGGGGCAGGAAAATATGGGCCCAAAGCAGGGCCTTAGACAAGGGCGGGAGACCAACCCACGGAAGAGCCTCAGGGTGGAAACCAGGAGGTGCGGGGCCTGTTCTCCCACGTACCTGCATGAGCACTTTGAGTCGGTCCAGGGGCGCTGTGCAGGTTCTGGATACAGCCCCAGCCCCACCTCCGGCCACCAGGTGTCTCCACCACATCCCCGTCTGTCTCTCCTCCACTGTGAACTCATCAGGGACTGTCAGATTCTCACCCACATCAAAGATCTGTGAGGAAGACCAACCAGGATCAAACAAACAGGTCCTGGTGCCTGTGGCAAAGCTGGTGGTGGACAGCAAGGTCCATAATGTTTCGCTGTCTAGAATGGCCGACACCCTGAGGGGCCACCCAGAAGGCGAAAATGCCAGGTGGCTGGGACAGCGATACACCTGCCCCCACCTTGCACTCTGAAGGTGGCAAAGCTCTGTTCCCTGCCCATGGCCTTGGAGAGGCCCAGGCAAGGAATGTGAGAGCGCAGCTGGAAGGAAGCAGTTACAAAACCCCGTGAGACAGCCTGCCCATGGCTGCCAGGGAGCTCCTGCAAGAACAGCTTGCATGGGGATTTCGGCGGAGGGGCGCCAGGCTGGCTGCACTGAAGTGATCTAGCCACGGGTAAAATCCTCCTGAAACCCGCTGTGTAACCAGACCATGCTGGCGGAACATTATGTAACTCCTCAGCTGCGTATCGCTCTCTCTTCTGAGTGGCACCCTGCCTGGCCAGATAGTGCCAGCTCTGCTCCAGCCTGGGACTGTAGGACAGACCCACAGGTCAGCGGTCCATATACTTTCACCTGACAAAGGTGCCAGGTGTCCCTGGAGGGTGAGGCCCTGGCCTGGGAGCTGCAGGAGACAGACCAGGAGGGCCCCTCGGCCTAAGTGGATCCCACTGAAACTGGGGGTGTTCGGCAAAGACCAGCAGGGAGGGCTGCACCCTGCGTGAAGGGGGCTCGAGGGCAGGGAGGCAACAGGGCCCCTGCTGGTGAGGGTGCTGATCTGTATTTCTCAGTGATAGCTTTGATGAAGTGAGGGAGCAGGGATGCAGGGAGGGAACGTGTCCCTTTGCCGTGGAGAGGAATGGCACACAAAATGGGTTGGTCGGGGGAGGACTCTGACAGCAAGTGCCATTTGTTCCCCGGAGAGAGCCCCTGGCTCTGCTCGCACTGGCTTGAGAGGGGGTCTGAAGTGAGCCTTGAAGGACGGGCAGCCTGTGCGGATGGGCGGACACGTCTGGTGGAGGGACCACGTGTTCGGGGACTGGTCAGACTGTTCAGATGGGCCGGAGCATGGGAGACAGAGGGGGCACGCGGAGGGCTCTGTGGGGCTGGTAGAAGAGTGGACAGTGTCGCTGTCAGGGGGGTGGGAAGCAAGCAGGGACCCCTACCCTGGGGATGGGGACTGATGCTAGACAAAGGGGACCCCATGAAACCGAGGCGGGGAGAAACCGCCTCGGGCCGTGGGAACGCGGGGCTCACCGTGGAATGCTTCCAGTACAGGATGATCTCGGGGATGTTTTCCACGGGGTGCAGAAGGTGGTAGTCTCTCCACTCGTTCCAGTCAATGGTCATCGTGCCGTTCTTGTCCATGCTGCAAGAGGGGTGCACGGTTGCCCACGTGGGAACAGGCCCCGCCCGTCAGCCGCACTGCCCTCCTCCCGGTGAGCCCAGGGCGGGCCTGTGGCCGCCGAGGAGAGAAAGCAGGCTGGCTCCACAGGTCACTTTGCACAAAGATGGCATACACGGCCCACGAGAACCCCTTCTCATCAGGCACAGAGGTGAGGGGGGAGGCAGTCACCAGGGTGACGGGGATACTTACTAGGTGACAGGGCCCCAGAAGTGGCCCGTCCGTATTCTGACAGACAGACAAAGGAGGATGCAGAGGAGAGAGGAGAAACAACACAAATAAGTGCTCCAAGCAGACGTGAGCGAGGCAGCCGCACGGCCCAGCACAAGGACGCACCCCACAGCAGCCGGGGAGTGGGCACAGGAGGCTGCTGGCCAGCACCGGCCAGCCCCGGGTCACAGTGATGTGGACAGGCTCGGCCAGGAAGGGAAGCTGCTCTGGGGGCTATTCTGTGCAGCTCCCCGGCATGGCACAGCCATGCCGCCCCCAGGACCACCGCTCCCCTTCGACCTGCCTTTTGGGGTAGCACACCGGACTACCGTGTCATGTCTGCCTTAGGGGAGGGCTGCCTCGGGAGTCCCTTCCCCTTCACAGCCAGGTAAAGAAGGCTGTTCCTCGCTCACCTTTCACCTACTTGAAACCTCCCCCCTCCCCACTACCCTGGTCTCTTTCAGGGTCACTGGTGCCTGGGCACACTTCCAGGTGACTACTGGTTCTTCTGATGAGAGCTGGAACCTGGGGAGTGGTTACTTATTCATCCCTTCAAACTACCAGAAGCCAAAGTTCAGACAACAGGATCAGTAACACAGAGAATGACACCAGAGTTAGTGCAAGGACGCTTCTTTCGTCACACTGTTTCATTACACCAGTTACAGAGACAGGCTAAGCACGCACCTCTTGAGAATTTTTTCTGCCTGTTGCTCTGATATCTTGACCCCCAGGTCCCGCAGGGACTGCATGATCTCCTGAGCATCGATGCGCCCTGCAAGGACAAAGGCTGTGAGCTGCCAGCCAGGCCCAGGCAGTGCCCGAGGCCGGGCCAGCTGGGGCCCCCCCGAGGTGGTGCTCACCATCATTCTTTTTGTCCAAACTCTTGAACACCAGCCTCAGTTTCTTCTCATGATCTTGGAGATAATGGACGAACTCTTCAAAGTCTAGTTGCCCATCGAGGTCTTTATCACCAGCTTGTACAATTTTCTATGAAACAAAAGTAAAGTCTTGTCCTTTAGCTCACGCACGAGCCTGTCCCTTGGGGGACCCTGTTCCCAGGAAACAATTGTGCTAACCTGTGAACAGAGCCCTCGTGACCCAAGAGGCTTCCCCTGCTCTAGTCCCTAAGCCACCACTCAAATCCCCAAGGGCTGGCCAGAACCCAAGCACAAGCCCACCTTTGCTTTCCTCACAAGCAAAGAGAAGAAGGTGCTCCCCGCCCCCACCCCCACCCCAGGAGCCATGGCAGGCTGGGTGAGTTTTCATTCCAATAGTTCTAAAGACCAGCTCCGTGTACCGCCGGAGTCAGCTGCTTGGCTCCCCTGCAGCTGTGCGCCTGGCCCCGGGCCGCAGCCCACATGCTCTCTGCCCAAATGTGTGGCGAGCCCCAGAGCCCAGATTCCCCCTGGAACGCTGCAGCTTTCTCTTTTCATCCCCACACGTGGCGGTGCCCCAGACCAGTCAGGTGGCTGGGGAGAAGGTGTGGGGCAGAGCTGGCCCCTGCCAATGCCTGCGCGGCAGAAATACAGCCAGAGAGAACTCGAGGCTGGAGAAGCAGTGAGAGCCACAGGGAGCTATTTCGGAGCATGTGCCTGACGGGGGAGGCTGGTGACATAACCAACCTGAGCTCCCTCAGCCAGGCACCGAGTGGCAGGGGAGCTCTGCTTAGTTCGGTGCCCTGAGAGGCCAGAAGAGACCTTGCGGCTCTAGGTTCTAACCTGGGTCCTGCTAAATGTACTATGGCTAGCGATCCGCTGAATCCTCACGATCAAGCTGTAGGGACCCAGGCACCATCACTTCCCCACTTTACAGAGAAGGAAACAGAAGCTCGGAGAGGTTAAGCGATTTATCCCAGGTCACATAGCTAGGGAAGTGGTGGGCGGGATTCAAGCCAGGCTTGTTGGACTCCAGGGCCACCTCCCTAGAGATCCTGCTGCCACCTGAAAGGTTAATCTCAAGAAGGTGGGGGACATGCATGAGTCACTCCAACCCAGCAACACCCCGAAAACAGGAACAGAAATCTCCTAAGGAAGATGATTGTAATCTTCCTGTGACCAAATCTCTTGGTGAGAATCCATTCACTATCTGCAAACCAATATGGGTTTCAAGTCTCAGACCAGTGGGCTTGGAAACTGACAGACTGCCGGCTCTCCAGTGATTACCATCAGGTGCTCTTGGGGCCACCTGACTGCTCTCTGTGATTGCTCAGCCACCAAGGGTGCTTGGAGGAGGCCTGGGCAGACACCGTGTCACCTAACATGATCTCAAGAGCAATGCAGTGGGTGTGGCCGGAATGTGAGACCAATGCTGGTATTTTACCTACTATCCGAAGTTATGCTAACTTCCTGAGACATCTGCGCTCTAGATTTGTGGCAGGAGCGGAAACAGACTCTCCTGCTGTTTAGGGAGGAGGTGAATGGCAGGAACAAAGCTCTTTGGCATCAACACAAACCACGAGCCCCTTTGGGGTGGGCGTGCTGTGATAGAGGCGTGCTCAGGACAGCTTATTTCAAAATCATCTCCCACTCCTTGCTTCTACTTCAGAACGACTGGACCTATTTCTGTCTCCTTCCCTTGATACACAAATCAGCACCCCCTGCACACCATCTGCTCTGTGCCCCCACGGACCCTTAGGTATGGCATGGAACCAGATTAACAGAGAAGCTGGGATAAGCCCTTTTTAGGAGGCAAGCAACCTCCACAGGTCTTTCCCTGTCTTTAAAATGGTAATGATTTCTGCTGCCTCTCTGTTCCAAAGGAGCATCTGGGAGGCTTCCCATACCTCTGAGTGCTGGTTTGGTTCACCCAGGGCTCAGCCAGGCCAGCTCCAGCCTCTGCAGCTCCGGTCCCAACTCCTGAGCCTCCAATGAGAAGCCTCTCCCCTGCTGTGTCCTCCTGGTATCCTCCCTCCAGCTCGGAGCAACACCCCACAGCAGCTGGATTGTACCCCCTTCTCAGGAAACCCTCTCCCTCCCCCAACAAGAGGATTCCTTTCCATCTCTCCCACAAGCGGCTTCCCTATAATTCAAGACTTGGAAGTCACACGAAAGTCAGTCATTCCTGTGAAGTAGACCTTTTGCCAGCTATAGCCACATGACAACCGAGAAAAAACGCTCCCATATCACAGGTGACCCCCTACCCACACTCATCCATTAACTTCACCATCACTGCTGAAATACCCGCTGCCTTTCCAGGCGCAGCCTGGCCAGCCAGGGCCCTGTACACACCTGCTTCCACTGGCGGAAGGTGGAGAACTCCTGGGAGGGGATAAAGACGCTGAGCTTGAAGATGGACTTCAGCTCGGAGGGAAGGCCCTTGGACTCAAAGTACTGGAACTCGGTCTGGGCCTCCCCGATGAGCGGCACGTACAGGCACAGGCAGAGCATGCTGACGCGAGAGCCGCACCGGCGGCAGCGGGAGCGGTTCGGGCAGCGGGAGCGGCTGGCAGCGTGGAGAATGGGGAATGCTGCTGGCCAGCAAGCTGCACAAGATATGCCGGGGCACGGCTGTCATTGGCTGCTCAGGCCCCGCCCTCTACTTAATTGAAAAACTCGCTCTAAGTCCAGCCAACAGCCAATGAGCACAAAGCCCTAGATTGCTCAAGAGAGAGACGCGTAAGGATCAGATCTGCCGTCACGCTCCCACTCCCTCCCGGGGTGGAGGGGGTGGGGGGCGGGTTTAACTCTAACAAGAAAGGCAGAGCTAGCCGCCTGCCCTGCCTCGGTACCATGTCCAAACAAACCTTCACCCTCAAGCTGCCAACCGCGCCAAATGAACAAATAGACATTTTCCACAAGGTCCCCAAACACGTCACACAATGCGGCGAGTTTCTCCCCTTCGTCAGTCATTCCCGACAGAAAAAGAAGTGGATGCAGAGGCCGAATCGATGCCCCCTAACAACGGCCCAGTTTAGCTGTGAGAGTAGAAGTGTGCGTGTGGGGGGGGGGCGTGGGGGACGGCCGTGTCCCCAGCCACCCGTGAAGTGGCCACACCGCGCCCTCCTCAATCGCAGCGGCGGGCCGAGCCCTGGATTCAGGCTGCTGTGTCTCCACGGCCTTCTTGGCACAGCTCCCACCGGCTCCCGTGACCCTTTCCAGGCCACTCCACGCGCAAGCATTTCGGAAGCCACCTACTCCCCTGCAGGCTTCCCAGGGGATCCCACAGCACCGAGGAGCTGACGTGTCGGGGCAGGGGTGAGGACAGGTTAGGCTAAAAGGTCGCTGTGCTAAGGGACACGCTGGCAGTACCCACCTGGGGCCAGCAGCCTTCCAGCCTGCACCTGCACGCATGGACGTGTGACGCTTTACATCAACTGAAATGAAAAGTTCAGTTCCTTGGTGGCATAGCCACAGCCCAATGCTCCACAGCTGCAGGCACTCAGCATGGCCACCATCACAGAAAGCTCCAGAACGACCCTTTGAGGTGAGGCTGAGAGGAAATCTCAGGTCCTGCAAAGCCGAGACCTGATCTTCGCTTCGGGGCGATCCCAGGGGAGAAGCCTGCATCTCTACCTCATCCCCTCCCCACAGGAAGTGGCAGAGACTCCTGCTGCGGAGGAAGAGAGGAAGAGAGACGTCACGGCGACGGGAAGGAAGGCGGCGGCACCACTTCCTAATACAGACCGATGCGCACCGGCCGGAGGACCCGAATGGACGGCCACCCTGGGGGGACCAACCAAAGGGGAATTTCTTACCACACTAAAAAGCTCTTCGTGAAGAGCTTGAAAACAGGATTTTAAAAATAAGATGCTGAGGCTTACGCAGCATAGCATGAAGCAGATTTAAAAAATTCGTAGAACATTCCTGCCTCTCTAAAAGGGATGGATCCCTGGTGATGCGTCCCTGTAAACTGACCTTGGGCTTCACTGGGGTGGGTCCAGAGGCCACGCAGACAGAGTCCCACTTAAACCCCAGGACACTGAGCTGTCTGATCCAGAATGTTCTGTTTTGGGGCTATTTTTATCTCTATAGCTGCGATCCTTGAAGGCAGGAGGCTACTGTTTCCAGCGCTGGTACCTCCTGGTGCAGAAGGAGCCCTTACCTTGACCATGGAAGGTGCTGGCTATAAACAGCTTCTGAATGAATGAATTGGGCCTGGCAGGCCTCTGAGACCCCGATTTCACCAACCTCAACAAGATACTAAATTATTATTATTATTTTCATTTTAAAGGAGGTTCACATGAATAAATTCCTTTGTTAAATTATTCACATTTGCTTCTGAAACAAAAATAAATTACTGAGAGCTTTGATCATTTCAGTGATGGCTGCAGTCATTCCAAACAGCAAATATTTTGACCAAATAAGAAGTCAACTGGAGCTGTTCATTTCCTAATACACTGTATTTTTCAAATAATTTTGGTTACTGTACCCCTGAGTTTTTTTCTTTTTGTACCACTGAGTTTCATGATATATTTACAAGACAAATCTGAGAACAGATTTGAAAACAAAACTGAATAAAAGGGAAACCTGTATTCAACATATAAGGAAAAATTACTAAAACACGAATCCACTAAAAAGAGCAATTATTTTCTATAAAAAATAGAATGGAATTTCCCTGATTATAACAAAGCTCATTACTTTACAGACCAACGGTCTCAGGAAATGTTCTCTGAAAAATTCTGCGTGTGCCTGCCAAGGTGTTATTTTTCAATGCCAACACTAATCCAATTCTGACGTTAATTTTTAACCGCAGTTATAACTTAATGGTACTATGCAGCTGTAATCAAGTCCAACGGAACACTGTCCCGGGACAAACGCAAACTGGTGTTTAATGACCCACCGCCCTGAGTTCCAGTCGCCCCACAGCTCCATTTTCACGGACACACCGGGGATTCTTCCTTCCAAGGTGAGCCGATCTCCAGGCGCCAGTATCCAAACTACACGCTTTCTCCCTGGAATTATCCAGGGCCTGGCTCTCACGACACCAGCCACTTAAAACACCACCCAAACCCGACACAGCCTAAAGGAGATTTCAGAATTCGCTTCCAAAGAGCTGCTGTCAGGTGACACTGAGCACTGAGGGGGGCAGCACCCCAGATTGGAAGGTGGCAGGAGTGCGGGAGAGGCAGAACCCGAGCAAGTCGAAGCTCAGCCTCAGTTAAAAAACAATCACCAACAACTGTATCTGGGTCGCTGCCTCTGAGCGAACACAAGGAAAACAAACCCGGAAGACTAATGATGCAGGGCCGGAGTCCGTTCTGCTGCTTTGCGCCAGCGCAGGCGCTTTAAGGTCCCGCGGACCTCGCTGTCTCTCCCCCTCCTCTCCTCTCCCCTTCTCTGCGCTCTAATTCTAATTTTGTGACCCAGATCTATTTTCGTTTCCTCTCCGTAGCAATTAGCATTCAGGAATAATGACAGCAACTTCAGATCCCTCCAAATTTAGTGGCATCAGGTTTCATCAGCTTGGTACTGGTCCTCCCAGAGCATCTTCTCATCCTCAAATTGGCCAATGGCACCACAAGTTTTCCTCGTTCTACCACTCTGCTTCACGCCTGCAAAACAGGTGCTTCCGGTAGGTGCCAGAATATGGTGAGTAAGGCCAGGGCAGGTAGACTACCTTAGGGAGTGTAGCAGTAGGTCATAAAGTATTCCCCCCCTCCTCTGCAATGTCTCAGAGCAAGCCAAAATATTAATATTCAAAGGAGCCTTGCCAGCGTCAGGTAGCTCTAGCCCCACCCACCCACACAGCTCTCGAGAACCTCATTTGCTGCTGGGGCCACAGTGTCATTTGACCATCAGGTTGCCATGACAGCCCAGGGTAGCCTGTTTCCAATGAAACCTGCCTACATTTGGCAATCAGACAAACAATAAACAAAATTTTCTGGTCTTCCGAGAAGATAGCCCCTGAGGATCTGAATGCCTGGCTGCCGCTAAGGGTACCTCCCCCTCCAGACTAAGGGCTTTCTTCACCAGCAGATTAACTGTCAGAGGAAGATAAAGGGGAAACTGGAACAGTTCCTAGAAAAAAAGCTCACAGCCACCTGACTCACTAGCAGACATATTTAGACAGAGGAAGTGAGAGCCAAACAGAGTCGTGCAGCTGGGAAACTGAGAAGCCTGAGAACCAACGTGAACTTCTCTCTGAGGCCCCTGTAGTGTTTGGGGAGCCTCTTCCTGAGAAAAAGGGTAAGGCTGGGCCCCAGGGACCAGCGGTCACAAACCCAGAAGCCCACCTTCAACAGTAGCTGCTCCGGGAAAGGGCACAGGCTGCAGTTGTCCCTGCTGTTCCAAGACTCCCTTTATCTGCTTTTCACGAGTCCACACTGCCCAGGAGTGTTTGCCTTCTTGCTTCAAACCAAACCAACTGATCCGCCCCCCTCTTGGGGCCCCCCCCCCCCGCCCAGCCAGCTGACCCATCTCCCTGCTCACTCAGTGAAAGGTGTGGGTCTCAGGTTCAGCCCCCCCCCCCTTTCAATCTTGATTCTAAGGAACAACAGACCAGGAACTAAGCTGTTCTGAACAGAAAGTTCTGATGTGAGGCCACCCCGGGGAAGGGCTGGCAAGAGGTGCCTGTGAGTCTGGAAGACGGAGCAGTTAATTATTCAAATCATAAGTAGGTGACTTCAGAAGGGAGCCAGCCAACCCCTCAACTCCTTGGCCACAAGGCAAGCTAATCTGGAGATAAAAGTTCCTCTCGAGAGACTGTACCAGCTCGGTTTTTAAGTTCATCTGAAATAATGAAAAGGTAGGAAGTAGTACCCCTCGGAGCACATCTCAAGCACAATACAGACCCAGAGACCCTGCCGACCAGAACGAGCTCATTACAGACTAAGGGGTCTCCTCAGTGCTCCATCTTAAAAGACAGCAAAAGTAGTTGCATCAAAGGTCCCTCCCACTTAGCCAAGGAAAAACGAACATTTATCTCTTAAACGTAGCAATTCAACTCAACGGACATTTTTTAGGAATCTACACCTGGACACAGGGTCAAATCTCCTTTTCTAGTTGCATTTTAGTCCTGAGAAAGAAGAAGAGATTCAAAGGAACCAAAGCTCAGGAAGTGAACAAGGTCACTCCTACTGCAGGCCGGGGAAAACTCAGCCCCACAGCCTCCCTGTTCTGATCCTGGGAACTCGACCGGTCCCAATGCAAACTGCTTTCTCAAGGGAAAGCGAGGCCACTCAGGGTGCAGCCCCAGACAGACCAGGGTGAAATCCCACCACCAGCCCTCCTTAGCTGTTTAACCCTGGGCAAATGACTTACCCCGTCTGCACCTCAGCTTCCTCACCTATGAAGTGGGGGTGCCACCACTCCCCCCCGCTCTTGGGTGGATCAGACGATAACCCACGCTCAGGACACGAGATGGGTGGGAGGCCCTGGCACTCAGAAGAACCGCAGACCCAAGAGAGGCAAGGGCCTCTGCACCCCAAAACTCCAGCCTCTCCTCTGATCACCCCCTTCCTTCCAGACCCAAAGGCCCTCTGCCCCACAAGGCGAGGGGTCTGACCTTTGGGAGGCAGGACAGTCTGGCCCTGCCCAGCTCTGGGCTGTTGGCTTCAACTTTGAAAGTCTATTTTGTTGCCTGCTTAGCTCGGCCCTCGCTGAATTATTCAGATACGCTAAGGCATAAGACAGACCGTAGTGTTTGTCCCTTACTTTCCGATGGCGTTCTAGGGCCAAACTGACAAATCAAAGGCAGATCTTCCATTGCTTTCAACCTTCCTTCCCCAATGGCCACACTGAAGTGGTCATAATAGGGTAGTAAAGCTTTTACAGGAGCCACAGGAAGATGCTGGGCTGAAGATTTCCATTTCCTTATTGTCTAACTCTTCTTCCCCGCCCCCGACACCAAACTGATTTATTTACAGCTCCACTCTTCCTCCCCACACTCCAGTTTTTTCCCCAGGAAAATGTTCCTAGACCGGCCCCTCAACTCAGAGGCCCTCTTGAGGTTGCCGTTACCTTAGGAAACTGCTCTGCAGGTCCGACCACCAGCAAAATGGTGGGTCTCTTTTCTGTGGTCTCAGCCCTGCCGTCCCGTTTCCCCAAAAAGCTCGACATCTGGTCTCCCTGAGGAGGAGCCGGGGTGCCTCTGACTTCGTTACTGCTCCCCTCTCTGGAGCCTTGGCACCCAGCCCTGGGGAAAAAGCTAGACAGAACATGCCACAGCATCTGCAGCATCACGGCTTCCTCCCAACGTCGCTGACGGTGACCGGTCACTTTGGAGGAGGAATGTCACCACAAGGCCAAGGGTCGCTGGCTACACAGCTGCGGGGAGGGCTAGCCTGGGGAGCTGGAGGGCCGGGAGCTCGGCATGCGGCGGCTGTCTCCTGCTCTTTCAGGTCTGCTAGCACTGCCCTCGTGCCTGGCCTGAGAAACAGCTCCCTCTCCGAGAGGCCCTGCCGGCTTGCTGGCTGCGAGAGGGGAGCTGCTGGAGCTTCTTCAATAAAAACTCACTTCTGGAGGTGGACGGTTAACAAATGTTTGGCTTTTTTAAAAAAGGAAAAAGCAGTCACCCAACAGACCTCTCCCGGAGGCAGAAGCAACTTCGAGCTCCCAATTATTCAACTGTCTTCGCTGAACTAATGACTATCACACGAGCGAGAACCCGAGCATCCAGCCTGCATTCTCACTGCAGCAGGGCGCGTCCAATCACCTCTGCCGACACTACCAAGTTCATTATCCCAACCAGCAACATTCCTCCAATCACAGGCAGCCGATTCCCAGCCCGCAGCCCGGCACTTCTGCAGGGAGGTGCCCATGGCAACCTCCAGCTGAGCTTCTTGGCTTGCCAAATGCAGCCGGCGCTCGCACGCTCGAAGGAGCCCAACTTTCTCCTCTGTGCCTGCGTTGTTTCTGGGATGGCATTCACCATCGAGTTTTACATGACCAAGAGTCCCTGGCAGCGTTTCCTAGGACACCTAGCAACACTTCCCTTGTTCCAGGATCCCATTCTCCCTCACCATGTGTAACACAACACACGCCGTATCATAGCTACTTCTCCCGTCTCCCCCACACACGGAGAGCCGCTGGGGGACAGGGACCGAGTGACAGATTTTTCTACCTCCAGCACCCGGCACCAAGCACAGATTAAGTCTGCAGGCTAAAGTGAGCAAGTGACCATGAATACAAGGGAATTGCTCAATTGTTTCTTATTTTACTAGCAGACACATTTACTAGCAGGGACCCAAACTGTCATCCCTCACAAAGGTGACCTTTTGATGCAGTGTTCATAACCATTATTTTAAAAACGCAAACGTATAAAAAGTTTAGCAAACTGCGGAAAAGTATTATGCTTCTTCCATATGCTGCTATGAGTGTGCACATCAGTAAAACCTCTCCAAAGAGCAATTTAGTCACATCTACCAACATTTTAAAAGCACAAACCCACCCTCACTGGTACGGCTCAGTGGATAGAGTGCCAGCCTGAGAACCGGAAGGTCCCCAATTTGATCCCCAGTCAGGGCACATGCCTGGGTTGTGGACCAGGTCCCCAGTTGGGAGCTTGCTAGAGGCAACTGATCCAGGTATCCCTCACACATTGAGGTTTCTCTCCCTCTTTCTCTCTCCCGTCCCATCTCTCTAAAAAGAAATAATGTCTTTTTTTAAAAAAAAAGCACAAACCCTTTGACATGGCAGTTCCACGATAAATAATTTATCCTGTAGATACATTTGCAAACTTGAGAAGCTACACACACATACACCCGATACATGTGTGATCACATATAAGGGCATTTTTTGCAGCCTTGCTTCTAATAGCCCAAGTTTGGAAACAACGTGGAGTGCTCTAACGGGGCAGTGGGGACATAAACAATGGCACACGCATACAGTGGAACCCCACACAGCTGTTCAAAAGAATTAGGCAGCTCTGCACCTACTTCGTGAAAAATCATATAAATGAAGCAGCTTCATAATGGAGGCGGGGCTGCCACCCCAGGGGACTGCCTTGCCAGTCTCACTCCTGAAACCTCAGACTGTTAAAACCGGGCAAATCAACCTTTGGACTGGGCCTAAAGCATCGCTGTATTCCAAACTACTACTTGTTATGACTACCTAACCGAAAATTAAAGACCTCTTTAGAATTAGCGTGTAAGCTTATCTGCAGGTCTAGAAATTCCTTCCTGGGCTTATTAGCACCCATAGAAATGCCTTCCTTCTATTCACGTAATCATACTCCTTCCCTTTCTCATAAATATCCTTTGCTTTTACCTTCTAATCGGATCACTATTTGGGTTTCTGCCTGAATTAGTGCTTCCAAATAGCTGTTGTTTTTTTTTTAATCTCAAATAAACTCTTGGCGCCTATCATTTTTAAGTTCCACTCTAAAGGAATGATTTGAAAATACCTTGCTAAATGGAAGAAAACAAGGTGCAGAAGAAGGCGGGTAGGATGCTGCCATTCATTTCTGAGCTTGTACACGTGAAGGGTGTCTCTGGAAGGACGCACTAAAAGTGAAGAGAGGGTTTGGGGCAGGGAGGAAACTTGGGGGTTTGAGGGGAGAAAGGCAGGCGGAAGATTTACTTTCACTGAACATCCTCATATCATGAATCAAGCATGTATGACCAGGCACACACACACACACACACACACACACAACATGGCACAGCAAAGTGGCCCAGATAAGAATGACCTTATCTAAATGCAGTTGTGGCCCTGGCTGGTTTGGCTCAGTGGGTTGAAAGGTTGCTGGTTAGAGTCCCGGTCAGGGCACGTGCCTGGGTTGTGGGCCAGGTCCCCAGTTGGGGGCGTGTGCGAAACAATCAATTGATGTCTCTCTCCCTCCCCTTCTCCTTTCTCCCTCTCTAAAAAGAAATGAAATTTAAAAATAATTAAATAAAATAAAAGCAGTTTTGTATGTTGATTAAATGTATAGTCTTTGGAACCAGACCCCAGGTTCAGGTTCAAGTCCTGGTCATGACTTACTAGCTGTGTGATCTCAGTCAAGTTACTTTACCTCTCTGTGCAAAATGGAAATAGTAACAGAACCATAATGTTACTTCACAGAGTAGGTTAAAGACTAAATTAGATAATATGTAAAGCTCTCAGAGCAGTATATACAGCATTCAATAAGTGAACAAAAAAGGGGCTCTGTAATAAACCTGACAATCTCAGTGACCAAAAGTAACCCCACCAACAGTCTGAACGTAAAAATTCCTAACTGGAACATGCCATGGTGGGTAGTCACGCCCAGACCTATAGCTTCCCAAGGAAAGATCAGTCTTAAGCTTAAGTGAGCTCTATCCATTGTTCTTATACATCCAGGATAACACGCCTTTGAAATGTTAGAGTAATTTTCTCTTCCCGACCCCCTGGCGGCAAACGCTGGCACCAGAGCACAGACCACAGAACCCCTCATTGTTATCTGGCTGCCTGCGCAACATCTCTGTGTGCCCTAGGTGTGAATCATTAACTATCCTGTCCCACTGATGGAAAAGAAGCATCTGTTTCATCATTTTGCTTTTTACCCAACCCTAGAGATTCCCCTGCTTTGCTTTCTCCTGCCTCCTTAACCGACCCCCAGTGTTTTTCGTGTAACCCTCTCTAGGTCTTAGTCTTTGACTCCAGTGCATAAGATAAGCTGCAAAGCTGCAATTCTCTGAAGCATTTTCTCAATCCATTTAACACTTGCTTCTGGTCATGTCCTAAAAAATTTGGCTTAAATAAACTCTTATAAAACTTTTCTACAGGTTTTGGACATTCATAACTGTTAGTGATTTTATTATCATTATCTAGAAAATGACTGTGAGTTCATGCAACCGATTTGTTTGTTTTGTTTCCTTTGTTTTTTAAAAAATATTTTATTTTTAGAGAGAGGGGAAGGGAAGGAGAAAGAGAGGGAGAGAAACATCAATGTGTGATTGCCTCTCATGTGCCCCATACTGGGACCTGGCCTGCAACCCAGGCATGTGCCCTGACTAGGAATTGAACCAGTGACCCTTTGCTTCACAGGCCCGTGCTCAACCCACTGAGCTACACCAGCCAGGTGTTTCCTTTGTTTTTAAACTGGGCGCTGCCCCCAGTGACCTTTTATGTGTAGCCTGCCCTCAATCTGGTCATCTTTTCAGTTCCTTTCTTCTTCCATTTATGAGCATCTCTGTGTACCCAGGTCACTGGCTCCTTTAACAAAGGAAACCCGGAGGGATCAGAAAGCATAGTCAGCAACAAGGGGGCTGCTTTGCAAATAAGGAGTTTTAATCCTGTTAAAGAGAAAAATTCCAGCTCCAAAACAGTGTCTCTCGTGCTAAAAGCCCACAACACTAAACCTAGATTTAATACCTGATCTAATTGCTGTTTAAACCTCTCCCACAAACACAATCGTAGCCAACCAGTCTGGAATTTTCTGGTCAAGCACCAGTAGGGTTCTGTCACCTGCGCCTTTTCCGTGGTGCCCCTATAGGAAGAAGAGGCAGGAGACAATCTGCGTGGTAAAACCCTTGCCATCCACCCCTCGAAGATGTCCTGGTCTAAAAATTATCCTTCCTTTTCCTTTGTTAATAGTTCCCTTGCCTCCTACCCTCCTTCCTTTAAAAAACTTCCATTTTGGCCCTGGCTGGTGTGGCTCAGTGGACTGAGTACCGACCTGTGAACCAAAGGAATGAGGGTTCAATTTCCAGTCAGGGCACATGCCTGGGCTGCAGGCCAGGTCCCCAGTAGAGGACGCGCGAGAGGCAACCACAGGGAGAGAAGTTGGTGTTTCTCTCCCTCTCCTCCCTCCCTTCCCCTCTCTAAAAATAAACAAATAAAAACTAACCCCCCCCCACAAAACCCAAACAAACCACAAACTTTAAAAACCTTCCATTTTGTACAACCCCCTGGAGAGCCCTTCTAGTTGCTAGATGGGACACAAAATTGCTTAATAAAGCTAGTTAGATCTCCAAATTTACTCAGCTGAATTTTTGTTTTTTAACAATACTGAGAAGAGCCGGTCTAGAGCCAAAAACCCGAACTAACAAGTAACCCTTTCACGAAGACAAATCATGTTTTTATGCACCAAAAGTCCCGCAGAATGGAGAAGACAGGGATGTCTTGGGCCTGTACACATCACAGAACTGAGTTATGAATTTGGGGGGTTCCAGCCAAGATGGCGTTACAGGGACCGATTCACCTTCCTGCCAATGACAATTAAACGTCCAGACCAAATACACGAAATGATGGTTTACGAGACACTGGACGACTTCAGGTGACAAAGGACAGTGACTCGTGGGGGAGGTATACAAATGAGCTGAGCCCACAACTGCCCCAGCTTCCTGGCTGGGGTTTCCAGCCTACAGGAGAGAGGGAGGGTACTGAGGCGGAGCCCAAAAGTTCCCCCAAGTTGAAGAGGCAGAGGCAGGGGCGGGGCCAGGGGGCAGGGGGCTGGGGTTTCCAGGGCCCCGTACTGAGCAGGAGGGAGCTGTAGAGAGGTGTGGGTTCTGTAGTCCGGCTCAGGCACCCCGGAGCCATAGCACATGCATGTGAGGAAACAGCCTGAGGGTGGGAAAAGAACCAGGCATCCTGACACAAAGGCCAGGTCCTGTTCCCACCGCCAGCCAGAGTAGAAACCCCTTCATAGAGCAAGG